ATACACACTCAATAAAGATTTGGTGAATGCTAGAATGGAAGGAAAAAGGCCATTTCCCCGATGCACATGCAGTAGCAGATAGGGAATGGCTGTTTGGCAGTGCTAACAAGGAAGTAGTTCAGTTAACCCAGGTGAACAGACTGCACATCCCCTCCCTGGCCCTTCTTAGGGTCACCTGAAGCTGAGGGACAGAAGACCAGGGTTTCTGCTCAGGGGCTAATGGCAGGAACTAAAGCCCAGTGTACAGTCTTTATTTACTGGGAACCCTGAAGTTCAGGGAAGACAGGTCCACGGCACAGGCCTTCAGAACTCAAAAAATGGTCACTCTGCAGGGGTTGGGGTATCAAGAGGCCAGTCACTCATGTCCAGTCTTCCTGAAGTTAAAGGAGTCCTCAGGAGGTAGGAAGTGGCTGAGCCTGTGGAGAAAACACATCAACATCTTCTGGCAGCTGTTCTGTGCCTGGCCCTGGGCCACTGCAGGGGCAATTCTGCGGACACACCAGAGGCTGCACTGGAGGGAGAGGGTAGCAGGCAATGACCTTGCCATCTGCCATGAAAACAAGCTGGCCGTGGTACACTATCATGGGGAAAGCACATTTTACTAAGGCCCTGCATGTGCTCAGCATTGTTTCAGGTATTAGAGACCCAGCAGACAAAAATCTCAGACTCAGAGGGTCTTCCACTCAAGCAGGGAGTGAACAAAAATATGTCAATGGCAAGAAATTCTCTGTAGTGTTTATTAAAGTAGAGAGCAGGGGTGTACGTTGAGGAACATGTAGCCTTTTAAACTGTCAGCTACACAGACAAGAGATGCTCCAAAAGTCCTTTAAGTCCTGGTGCAGGAGATGAGCTTGTCTGTGTGCCTGCTGTTGTACAGACTACAGAACAAAGGAGGCTGGAATTTTACTGTCCCAATGAGGGAGGAAAAGTTGGAACTAGGATGCCCTTACCAGGAAGGAGGAGGTCAATGAGAGGAACTCTGAGTGCACTGGAGAGCTGTGAGGCTTTAAAAGTGAGACATGTAGGGCTGGGGATTTAGCTCAGTGGTTTTGCCGCCTGCTGCGCAAGCACAAGGACCTGAATTCGATCCCCGGTACCAAAAAAAAAAAAAAAAAAAAAAACAAAAAAAAAAAAAAAAAAAACCCAAAGAAACAAAAAGTAAAAAAAAAAAAAAAAAAGTGAGACGTGGCCTAATTTCCATTTTTAAATTTGTTTGGCTGCCAAGGAAGAGAAAATATGGGGGTAGGAGTGGCCATAGGGAGACCACAGAGAAGCTGGCTGCTTGTCCAGAAAAGGAAGGAACAATCGGCCTTAAAATGGGAGGGAGGGGCCTTTACTGTTCAGATGCCCAAAACACTAAGAAGAAATGTTCCTGCTGTGTATGGTGGCACATGCCTGTAATCCCAGTTACTGGGGGCGCTAAGGCAGGAAGACTGCAAGTTCCAGGCCAGCTTGGACAATTTAGAGACCCAGTCTCAAAATAAAATTGAAAAACAAAGTCTGGAGATGTAGGTAAGTGGTAGAATGAGGCCCTGGGTTTAATCCCCAGTACAGTAAAAAAAATAAAGGAAAGAGAAAAAGAAAGGAGGCACAGCATGGTGGCACAGCCCTGTAATCCTCATACTCAGGAAGTATTACCACAAGTTCAAGGCCAGCCTGGGCTATATAGTGAGTTCAAGGCCAGCTTGAACTACATAGCAGACCCTGTCTGGAAAAAAAAAGAAAGGAAAGCCAGGTGAGGTGGTACATACTTGTTATCCCAGCACTTGGGAGACTGAGGCAGGAGGATCACCATGAGTTTGAGGCCAGTCTGGGCTATATAGTGAATTCAAGGGCAGCCTGAATTACATAGCAAGACCTTGTCTTGGGAAAAAAAAAAAAAATGGAAAAGAAAGGAAGAAAAAGAAAAGAAGAAAGGAAGAAATATTCCTAACAGATGACCAGGAAACTAGTGTGGATAGTATGTGGTTATTATTGAATGTTTTCTGAGGAGAATTAAAAATCTGGCTGGTTTCTGCTCTTGGAGTCTGAACTTTTCATTTATCTCCATCTTAAAAGAAGCAGTGAAGATTGGACCTGATTAGAAAGGCAGCTGCCCAATCTTTAGCAAACAGCTCCTCTAAAGCAGGAAATACTAGCACAGCAGTAGGATGTGAGTCATGACTGGAGCTCATTGACCTTGGGAGCCTGGGAGCAAGGATGGGGCACAAGGAGAGTTTTCTGAGGGAAGTACCATGTAAGATGAAATAAGAATCAGCCAGGAGATGGACAGGAAGGGCAGCCTATGCAGAGGGAAAGAGCTGGACAGAAGCAGGAGAGACGTGCACATTCACTGGGGCAGGAACATGGAGCTTAAGGGGGAAAGCAAGAAGAGGTGGGGCCAGAGGTCACTAGGACCCCAGGTTGTGCTGGAGTTGAGAGCTTGCCTGGTGGAAGTGAGAGCCTCAGAAAGGTTTCTAAATAGAGGCAGAACATGGTCAGACTTTTTTTCAGATTACTCTGGGACTGTCACAAGGAAAGGCCTGAAAAGGATAAGATGGAGCATGGAGACCCAGGAGGCTAGTCTGGGGCTACAAGAGAAGATAGGATTGCAGGGACAGAGAGAGGGCCACAGGGGAGGGTGTTCAGAGGGGCTGGTGAAAGACATCTTTTCCCTTTGTTGTTCATAGTCCAATGGGAGAGGCGGTAAACAACTGAAGGAGTTTTTCTTTTACTACCTCAGATATACTGTATCCATTAAAAAGGATAATTTTTTTCCCCAACTCCATCCTATTCCCTCTGTCATTACAGCTGAAAAGCAGAGAATGCATAAGGAGGGAGGTAGATGAGGTCAGCTTTGGAAAGAAAATAAGGAACTCAGCAATGACCTGGGATTTTATTCTTAATGTGAATGGGAAGCCACTGGAGAGTAAGCAAATCTGTAATGTGAATAGATTTCAGGCCACTGCATGGAGGAAGAAGAGATTCAGGGAAACTAGGGAGAAGGCTGGGGTAGGTATCCTGGCAGACGAAGGGTGGGGTAAGTGGCTGGACTAAAGTAGGGGATGTAGGAGGGTGGCAACAGGTGACCATGTTCTAGATTCTGGATGCATGGTGAAGGCACATGGGGAAGGTGGAGCTGAAGACTTGAAAGTCTTTACTTTGAGCAACTAGAAAGATGAAGGAGGTTGTAAGGGGGAAAGAGATAGTGCTCAAATGAGCCTCCTTTACCTCTATAGGTGTGGGTGAATGTGGCAGCTGCACCTGCTCAGCACATTGAAGGAAGCGGCGCACATGTTCAGTACAGTTTCCAACAGCTGCCTCATTCTGCCGAAGACACTCCTCAAAGGCCTCAAAAGGCTCAGCACAAGCCTGGCGGATCTGGCGGATGATTGGGCTGTGGGGAGTGGGCATTTCAGACCCAGGAACACCTACTCCACTGTCCACTTCCCACCTCACTCCCCACCCAATCTCATACTTGCCCACACTCACTGGGCGGATGTGCACTGGGCAATGCTCATCTTAAGGTAGTGACAGTCCCGCTGCCATGACTCAGGTTTTGCTGCCACACACTGACCATACTGATCCAGCTCCCTGCCACAGTAGCGAGCAGTGATCTCCAGGGCCGCCTGCCTGTGGGCAAAGAAGGCTGAAGATAATTTCAGAGAACAGGCAAGAAAAGGAGGTCTCATGTAGGTCTGAAGTATGATTAAGATCGGGGTGGGGGGGCAGGTCTAGGAATTCTAAGGATTCTGGGATGGGGATAGGGAAAGGCAGAGGTGAGGCCTGAGCCCTGGGGGCTGTGGAATAGGGTGGGAGCTTCTGGGGAGACAGTGGAGGTCCTATAACAAGATCTGAGTATTTTAAGGCAGGCCTTAATTATGGTGGAGTTCATAGAATCCCCCAAATAGGATTAGGGATCATGGACAAAAGATTTGGGGCCTTAGAAGACCTAGAGCTCTAGGGAGAGAGGCTGGGAGATTTAAATGGGTTTGGGGCTCGTCCAAATGAGGTTTGGAGGTCTAAGAGGTAGGGTCTTGGGCTCTGGTGAAGAGTCTCTTGATCATAAAGTTTTAGAGATGGGGACTGAAGGTGGGTCTTGGAGATGAGACCTGAGGCCTTGTGGTTTGAGGGTCCTGGGGTGGGACTAAAGGTCCTAGTGGCATGATCTGGAAGCCCTGGGTAAGGCTGGGCCTCTGTGCTAGATATGGAGAGTCATATTGGGGGGGGACGGACAAGGTCGGGAATTCAGAGCAAGGTCAGAAGGGTCTAGGAAGAAGTCTGTGGGCACTACAGGTGAGACGTCTGGGTCTCTGGTAGGTGTGGAAAGCTCAAGAGGTAAGATCTGATGATCCAAGGGGAGAAATGTGAAGATCTAAGGACAAACTGGAGTTTCAGAGGTCCTTAATCAAGTCTAGAGTTACAGGGTGGCAAAGTCAGGGGTCCCGCTGAGGCCCTCGGGGTGGAGCTTGGGTGATAGCCAAAAGGGAGAGGACCTAATGCTCGAAGGGCAGGGCCTGAGCATGCGCAGATGGGGTGTGTCGATCCTGAGGGTCAGTCTCCATGGAACCCAGTCGTCTTGGGGTCCTGAGCTAAGTGCAGATCACGGGGAAGAGGAGACAGCAGCAGCAAGTTCGGGCTAGGCGTTCTGCTACTCACATGTCGGTGCCGCGGTGGATCTGACAAGGAGGAAAGACCCGCCTTTTCCGCTATCAGGTTGTCAAGGCGGGGCCCAGCCAGCCTTCACTGATTCGCTCTTCCGGTCGCAGAGCGACAAGCAGCCCAGGGTGTTTAGACTCAACCCATCAAGGCGATGCCCTGCATAGCTACTTCCGGCTACTTCCCGCCCACTACGCAGCGACAGACATTCCTACTTCCGGTTTGCTATGGCGGCGCCCAAGGTTCCCCGGAAGTAGTCAGAAGGACTGGGGCGTCTGGATCCTAAAGTGACTGCGGGTTCTTTGGGACTGAGCCACTGGCAAACGCGCCCTAGCTATCCTGAGTGGAATTAGTGGTGAGCGGCGGTTGCTACTTCTGTGGCCCCACAACATGCTGTCTCTCGAGGCTGTGTTGTGGCTTGGTTGCTGCCAGGGTTCTGGACGCAGGGACGGCACCCTGACCCCCTAACGTTGCGCTGCCACCATCAGCCATATACAGGTGTTCACAATCCTCCCGAAACACTGGTTCGTGTGCGTGAGCCGATCTGGCGGAGAGGCGCCCCAAGAGCTGGCCCAGCCCGACTTGGGCCACCCATCCGCTAGGCCTAAGTCACCCCTTCCCATTCCCCCTGCTCTTTAGCATAGACCCTAAAGCCAGGAGGAATGTGTGGTGGTTTTTGGTTTTTTGTTTTTTTGGTACCGGGGATCGATCTCTGGACCTTGTGCTTTCAAGGCAGCCTGCGGAACCACTGAGCCAAATCCCTGGACCAGGAATGTGTGTTTTAATCCTGTTTCGGTGAGACCATGGGCGAGTTACTTCCTCTTTTTGTAATTCCTCCTTGTATGTCAACGTTTTCACCTAATTTGCCTTCAAAGTATCAGGTTAGCCCTCACATTCTTTCTCCATTCTTTTCTCCCTTAGAGAACTATTTGTCTTGCCATCTGGTATGCAGAGGTCTTCCAAGACTCCAGTCAAAATGAGCAGAAAATGCAGTCAATCATAGTGTTTAAAAATGAACAAGAGCTATTTGTAATTGACAAGCCACTTATAATATGTGTGCTCATCTATAAAATGAGAATGATAACAGTGACTTCTTCCACATAGGACATAGTGTAAGGGAACAGTTTTGCACAGAGCCCAGACCCGCAGCCGTTCTGAATAAGTGAGAGCTGTTACAGGAGTCTGTAATCATGAGCTGCCCTGCTTGGCAGTTGACATCTGATGACTGCTCTGCTGGCCACCTGTAACTGGTTCAGATGACAGGGCACTGCTTCAGAGACATGGGTATTGAAGTAAAGATTTTCACTCAGAGACCCCTCCATTCTTCCTGTCTGAAAAACAAATATATATTTTGGTGGGAGGAGAGGAAAGGCTGTGCAAAGAGGAGATTCTAGCTTCAAGTGTTAATTGAATCTTTAGATTTTTCTTTCCTGGGAGAATAAAATCTTAACCCATTCTTGCCCTTTCTATGCACCTTATCCCAAAGTCTAGGAAGTGTGTTTCCTCTAGGGAAGGGATTTGCACATCTGGGCTTGGTGTAAACAGCTATGAAGAAGACCCCAACAGGGGACACCTGCCTTGAGGAGCATGACACCCATGCCACCAAACTTCTAGCAGCCTTTGGCTTGTGGCTCAAGGGTAGGGTGATTCCTCTAGGGATCAAATGTAAGAGAGACCTAAAATCCATGGGTTCTGGAGTGAAGCAGATCTGAGTTTGAACTTGAGATCTTGAATACAATGCTTCTGCACTCTGGGTTTCAGATTTCCACTAACATCTGTTTCAGGTGTCCTTGAAAGAAGAAACTGAGACAATAATGGTGCTGATCTCTAGGTCCTCCAGAGCTGTGGGCTACAGGTGAAAGTGAGACTTTCAGAAACTGGGCATTGCTGTCACTTCTGTTTTTCCTTTAAGAAGTTGTATTTGATGTTTGATGCTGCACTTCTTGGGAAGGAAAAAGTGAAAGGTAATTTCAGAACAGATTGCACGAATCAGTATTTGGTAGTATCTGTTCTTTGTCTAATCAGATATAAATAGAGACTGCATTTTATTTCCAGTTTTCAAAAGTCATGATATATTCTAACAGTAATGAAAATTTTGTCTGTGATTCTGCTTCCAGCATGGGTGTCACTTCTTTGACTGTCAGTCTCCATCTCAGCCACCTTCTTTCTCTTCCCATCCTGTCAGTTCTGACCTTTGAATGTTATCACTCTTATTGCAGAATTGAAATTTATGTGAGAAAAGGATAATTGAGACTTTTGGCTTCCCCCTCAGCCTGTTTTTCAGGATTTCTGTACAGATGGTCTGTGTTGGAGAAAAAAGGTGGTGGTGGTGGTACAGGGATATGTGAAGCCAACCTAAAACAGGGCTCTGAGCAAATTTTCTTTGTCTTCAAAATGAGTGAACTCATGGCCAGCAGAGACCTGAGAGGTTATTTTGTTCTCAGTCAGAACACAGGTAACCCAAATGCTCTCTAGACATGTACCACAGTAAATTTAAATTCCAGCAAATATTGTCATTTTTAATAAGCTTATCACACAAAATAATTCTCAATACTGTAATTAGTGCATATGCTTTGATTATGTTTGTGAGGACCACATTTCTTAAAGCACTCCAGTATTCATTCAATTGGATCTTTCTTCTCTTTGAATATTATTTTTAAAAAATTGAAGGACCAGCTTGCTTCTTTTGCTGGCCATAATGGAATAAAGGAACTACCTGTATCCTCCCAACGTATCAATTGAAATCTGGACCAAACATGAGGCAACAGTTTAGATGTTGGAAAACAAGCATTGTGGCATAGTGACCCCTAAGGGAAAGGAGACAAGTGAGGTGACACTAATGGCCCAGATTGTGCCTGTAGTTTCCAGGACACGACACAGGAAGATGGAACTAAGACACATCCCAGTGGCCTCCCTGACCTGAGAACGTGGAGAATTTGTGGCAGATAGAGTTCATAAGGTAGGGCACCAGAGCAGCAAGCGGCACAGATCTGCAGAGGTTCTCCAAGCCTTCAGATCACAGCATGACTGTGAACCTACTCCTGGAAGTCAAGGACAGAGCCACCAGGAAGGCCTACTGAGGCCATCACTGGAGTTGCCAGTTGTCCATGTTCCCACCAGTCATAGCAGACAACCTCACTGGGCAAAATATTCAGCTATTGCCTCTGCAGGGGGCCAAAATTAGTCCTAATGCCTGCTGTGGTCTAAGGGAGTTTAGGAACACTTACGTGTCACTTCCTTCAATCCATTCATGTTGAAGGAAGGCAATACCAGATGGAAATCTGGTATATAAAGATCTCGAGGTAGGGCAACTACAGGGTTAAACATAAAATAGCTGTTATTTTATAAATCTCTTTGAAAGGTAATTAAGTGCTTAAAGCAAAAGTAGTAATATATTGTGAGATTCATCATAGATGTAGAATGAGGACAAAGGCACAAAGGCCAAAAGATATTATTAAAAAGTTCTTGTACTATAGGTATGTGAAGTGATGTATGAAAGTGTGCTTAAGTCTAAAGCTATATATACTAGAAAATTTAAAGAAACTAAAAGTGAAAATGTCAAGGTAGTATGATTAATAAGCAAACAAAGGAGGTAAAATAAAATAAATTAGCCCTGTGCAAGTATGGTTTTTGATAAAGAATGAAAAATTAATTCAGTAGAGAAAGGATAGTCTTCAAATAATGGTCCTGGAGCTACTGGATTTGTGTAGGCAAAAAAAAAAAAAAAAAACTTACCTAACAATACACCTTATATAAAAATAATCTGTAAATGGATCACTGATTTAAAGCATCAGACTATAAAACCTCTTTAGAAGATAACATGAGAAAGTCTTTGGGTCTGAAGAGTTCTTAGGACACTAAAAAAAAAAAAAAAACATAAACTAGACCTCATCAAAATCTTTTGCTCTCCAAAAGGTCTGTGAAAGGATGAAAAGATGAAGATGGTATCTGCAAAACACTTATGTGACACCTTATATTCTAGAATACATAGTGAAGTTTCAAGATTCATCAGTAAGAAGTAAAACAATTAGAAATAAAGCAAAAGATACAGACATTTATAGATGGTAAATAAGAACATGAAGAGATGTTTAACCTTTTTAGCCATAAGAGAAATGCATATAAAACCACAATGAAATCAGGTGCAGTGGTACACACCTGTAGTTCCAGCTACTTGGGAGGCTGGGGCAGGATTATAAGTTCTATGACACCATGGGCAACTTAGTGAGACATGGTCTCAAAATTAAAAACAAGGATGTCACTCAGTGGCAGAGCACATGTGTAGCATGTATTGGGGCCCTGGGTTCAATCCCCAGGGCCATCAATTAATCCTAAGATATCACTACACACCCATCAAGAACTAAAATTAAAAAACAGTACCACTAGAAGGGTGAGGAGTGCATGAATTGAAGTAATTTGAGGAAATGGCTGCTGGAAATTGTGGATGAGTTGGAGGACAATGGTAAGGGAGAGATGCACTTTAAAATGATTCCCAACTTGTGATCTTTGATTCTGAACCTAAATAGGGTTTGAGTGGGGTACTGGGTGAAATGTGAATAAGGTTTATAGATTAAATACTCGGGTTGGTAGTGTCAACTTCTGAATGTTGATAATTGCATTGTGGTTCCATATGATACTACAGATGGGGAATTGAAGGTATATTGAAATTCTTTATAATCTTTTTGCAACTTTTTTGTAAATGTGAAGTTGTTTCAACATGAAAAGTTAAAAATAGAACTAGCACTGTGGTAGAGTGCTTGCCTAACATGTACAAGACCCTGGGTTCAGTCCTCAGCACCATGAAATGGGAGGCTGACTTGAACAACAGACCTCAGCTCTGGGATCATGGACAGAGAATGAAGGGGAGTGAGAAAGTCTACAGTTCAGATTCTGTTAGTGGGATGTATCACCAATAGGTAAGATCTTTCTCAGTCTTGTCCTAACTCCCCTGTAATTAGTGATAGACCATCTAAAGCCAGACTCAATAATTATCTTAGGAAAGCTCTCACAATCAAGGCATCTTATACTTACACAAGTATATACAAAATTATCTACTGCCAACACTGTTTCTAATAACAGAAAAATGGAACGGCCCAAATACCCATCAACAAGGGAACAGTACAGCCATACAGGAAAATGTAATAAACCTGCCACAAAATGATATGAAGGCAGCTTAATAAAAGAGCCAAGTATAGAACAGACTATAAAATACCTATTGGATTTCAGAGGGTTAGTATCAAAAAATACAAATTATTGGGCTGGGGATTTAGCTCAGTGGTTTCGCCGCCTGCTGCACAAGCGCAAGGACCTGACTTCAATCCCCGGTACAAAAAAAAAAAAGTTTAAAAAATACAAATTATCTCAAAATTTTAATATTATTCACATTAAAATACCATATTTCTGAGATGGAAAAAACTTAATATTCATTGACAGATGAATAAAAAACAAATGTGGTATATACATTCAATGGAATATCATTCAGTCCTAAAGGAGGAAACCCTGGCCTATTTCTCCCAAATATGGCAACACAGTTGGATCCTGCTAACATGGATAAAAAAACTGCATGATCTTACTATATGAGCTGTCTAAAATAGTCAAACTCATTGAAATAGTAGAATGGTGGCTCTCACAGAGACCACGGAGAGGGGAAATGAAGAGCTGTTGTTGAATAGGTATAAAACTGCAGTTATCCAAGACAAGTAAATTGTAGAGCTCTGTGCAACAGTTTCTGTAGTTAAACACTACTGTATTGCACATTTGAAAATTTGGCCAGAGGATAGATCTCGAGTTTAGTTCTTACCAAAAACAAACAAAAAAACACACCAAAAAAGATACAAACTTTTGGAGATAATGGATATGTTTATTACCTTTACCATGGTAATGGCATTCCAAGTTATACATATGTTCAAACTTATTAGATTGTATATATTAACATACTTTTTTGTATAACAATTGTAATTCCATATGTTGTTTAAAATATTTTTTCCTGCTTTGATTTTGCAGGGAAGGGGTAATCTAGAGCTAGAAAGATTTTTTCTTATATGATCTACTTCTCAAGATATATGAGTGCCAGGGATTTAGCTCAGTGGCACCATGCCCAAAAAGGTCCTGAGTTCGATCGCTGGTACCAAAAAAAAAAAAGATACACATAGAATTTTTGAAAAATATACCAAAACCCCACTTTGGTAGTTATTATACCAAACAGACTCAGAAACTTGAATTCCTGATTGCCTCGTCTTAAAGTACTAACACTCTTGAAAAAAAAACAAGAGTGACCTAATCATACTATCTTCATTGAACTAGTTATATTTCATTTTAATCTGATGAATCTTCCTACCCAAAAGGCAGGCATCAAGTTAAATGACATCCAGTTTCACTCTGATGTTCATTGCTGCCAGTTCAGCCACAAAATACCGGAAAACATAAGGCACAGAGACAGTATCAATAGTGTCACTGCGATTACAAACAGTGCAGTTGTATTTTCTGTTTCTCATGGCAGACCAAGAAGGGGGTGGCTTCTCCAGCAGTGGAGAGAGTAAACTGCCACACTTCACACACACATGTGCCACCGAGCGATCAGAGCAGTTGAAGAGGCGGTCATGAAGCAGAAAAGATGTACCATGAGCCAAAAGAGCGTCCCGTTCCATCTCCCCAAAACGGATTCCTCCTTGGACGTTTCTTCCTCCAATAGGTTGGTTGGTAACTTTGTCCCTGGCTCCAGTTGTTCTAACTTGAAATTTGTCTGATACCATGTGACGTAAGCGTTGGTAATAAACCACACCTATGAATATGTCTGCTTCTAGTTCCACCCCACTGATGCCACTATACAACCTCTCAGTGCCATAGAAATTGTAGCCAGCAGCCTTTAACATCTCACCAAAGTATTCCAAGGCTGAGTTCTCCTCAGAGAAGATGAAGGGTGTAGCATCATGGCAGAGACCATGCAAAGCTGCAGACTTGCCAGCCATGCTCTCAATTAACATACCAATGGTCATACGAGATGGAAAACCGTGGGGATTGAACAGAATGTCTGGCACCATCCCACTCTCAGTAAAAGGCATGTCCTCAGCTGGCCACAATCTGCTCAAAATGCCCTTCTGCCCATGTCGACTGGCAAATTTATCTCCGATAGTTGGGTTCCGAGGGACTCTCATTGTGATGCAAATACACTTGAATTTTCCACTCCCTGAGTCATTACTACACACTTTGATGTTATCCACAATACAATTTTCTTTACTCCTAAGAAAAAATAAAACATAAAAAGATAAGCTATTTGTTTAAACTTAGAGACTTAGGGCCAGGGGTTTAGCTGTGGTTCCTCCGCCTGCCTCACAAGTGCAAGGACCCAAGTTCGATCCCCGGTACCAAAAAAACAAATAAACTTAAGAGACTTGTTTTGTTAATATAATTAGTGATTCATAAAGGGTATTTGTAATGTTTATTCTTACGCTATTTACTGATACAAACACAACTGGTATTTCTAAAAGTATGCATAGGGTTATGTGTTCATCAGGCAGAATACTAGCAACAAAGACAAGTGAAAACCTATCATAAAGGCCTACTGAAATCTATTGTTATAAAAGAAGCTAAAATGAATATTTTTAATAAAAGGCATAATGAACTCAACATTTTGGCTAGGAAACATCCCTGACACCACATATGAAAGTTCAAATAGTAGTTTTAAAATAAATCACAGATAAAAGGCAGTGCAACAGGTACAAAGTCTGTCCCATTCAGCCATGCCGGTGAAGTTCTCACTGAGATTATACCTGCTGTGGTCTGCATGTATAGTTCATGCTGAAATCTAATCCCCACTGTGGTGATGATAGAGGCGAGACCTTTAGGATATTAAGTCATGAGGACAGAGCCCTCATGAATAGTGACCTTGTAAGAGGTTTGAGGGGAAGGAAGGGCTGGAGTGGAAAGGGGAGTAAAAATGATCTAGATACAGTATGTATATGTACCAATTCCCCAAGGTGAATGTAATTGTTATGTACTACAAACATACACACATAATGAAAAATAAATAAAGCTAATCCAACCCCTTCCACAAAGAAGTTTGAGGGAATTTGTTTACCCCTTTTTTACCTTCCAACATGTGAGGTCACCTGGATGTTACCTCCCATGAGGAACAAGTCCTCATCAGACACCAGGTCAACCTCCAGAACTGGGAGAAATAGATTTCTGGTTTTATTACCCAGTCTCAGGCATTGTGTTATAGCAGCACACATATACTTTAATAACAGAACTAGCACTGAGAGTTTTTTCCTCCAAAATTCTACTGTTAAAAGGTAACTTTCAGGGCCAGGGATTTAGCTCAGTGGTTTCGCTGCCTGCTATGGAGGCACAAGGATCCGAGTTCGATCCCCGGTACCAAAAAAAAAGGTAACTTTTATTAACCTCTAGCAATTCCACTGAGAAAGAAACTAAACAACAGCACAGATGCCCAAACTTACTTATAGTATACCACATAGCTTTCCCCTGTGCTGAGATTTAGGTAGCCGTAATGTGGATCTCCATATTGTAGTTTTGCTCCTATAAATGGCAGTCCATCATCATCTAACTTCTGCATGATACGTGGGTCACCAGGTTTGACTCCAAACACCAGACTGTCAGCTCCTTGCTTAAATTTTTCAGATAGGTTTATGAACTCTGTCTTATAGACACTTCCATGGGCAAAGCCACGTTCCCAAGAAGACTTATTCACAATCTGTGAAGACAAAGAATCAATTTAAGAGCCAACAGCCAAATGAGAATTTTCAAAATAAAGCCAGAAAGGAGTATACTAATAATTGGTTTAGGATAAGTGGCATTTGATTTTAAAACTCTCCCCACATTTTCCAAGTCACTGCTAATTGAAGCCAGACACATAAGTGGCTTAAGACCTAATCACAAATAAATATAAAAGGAAGGTATATTATCACTCAACCCTCACTCATAATATGTACTTAGATATAAAAAATATGTGCATATCAGAATATTCAGTGAATATTTCTCAAGGCATGCCCACTTTGAACTTAGACCAAGAGCAAGCCATTTAATAGCATAATCATGTGCCTAAAAGTAGGTCTTTGGGGTCACAAATATTCCTTCAGTGATCTCATTATAAACAAGAAAGTAAATAAAATTTTAAAAAATATTAGGACAATACCTGGTGAAACTTACCATGGCATCTTCCATATCATAGCCAGTATAAGAAATCACAGCAACAATGGCATTTGTCCCAATTGGATAGTTATCCATGTCATAGTAGTCATACATGTATGGTCTTACTAAGGGGCTTTGTGGAGTCTGAAGGCGATACAGTTTATTATCTGATCGGTCTTGGTAAGTGAGAAGTGGAAAGCCCATGGTTTGCTTACCTACAGAGGAAAAAATGAAAAGTCTCTGCATTTTCTGTTTTTAACTCTAAATTATAAAAGTGTTAAATAAAATTGAAAATAACTAAGTATTTCCATAGAGGAATGAATAAATAAATAAATCATGCTTACTACAGACTTAATACTAGCTATGAAAATGAAGTAGATTTACTTATATCAACAGTTCCTGACCAGGGCTAAATGGAAGTAGAGAATGACATTTAATGAAACTACAGTACTTATATACATTTGTTAACACATCCTAAACAATTCTATATCTACTTTATAGATTTATGTGTAACATAATAAAAAGCATTAAGAGAGGACATAGAGGCTATACACAAACTATAGGACACTACCATTGGGGCAAGAAAAGGGGTGGAGCAATATTTACAATTTAGATAAAAACTCATGGCCTTACTGTCTCAAAGAGCCAAGGAACAAAATGCAGAACACAACAAACAGCAACTGGAAAGTAAGGTGGGAAATTTTAGAAATGAGAGAACTACAGAGGGACAGTCCTAAATTTTACACATAAATTGAGTCCAAATCCTTGGTAGACTCCTAAGTTATGCATGTACTAGGTAAAGCCAAGCAGCCTACCTAAGATGAAAAGCTAAATAAACTACCAGTTAAAACTAACAGTTTTTAAAACATTACTCACAATGCCCATTATACAATATATTAGTGGGCGTACAAACAGTAACACAACCAGCATTCAAGAAAAGAGCTCTCACAGGAGACTGATCATAAGATGAATCCACAAGAATTAGCAAGGCATCTATCATATAATCTATGCTGAAAAATGTAAAGGAAAATATGTCCACAGTGAAATGAAGACACTTCAGAAAATTAAAAACTATTTAAAAAAGAAACAAATGAATGTTCTAGACTGAAAACCAAAATTTAAAAATTGAAATAAAAATTCACTAGATGACAGAACAAAGTCAGTGAAAATAATGATACATAAAAAAAAAAAGGTCCAATCTGAGGAAGAAAAAGGAAACTCAATGGCTTATGGGACAATATCAAAAGGTTTAACATAAATGATACATGATTAAATCTTAAAAAAAGAAACAGAGAAGAAAAGCCTTAAAAATAATGGTGGAAAACTCTCTAAAGTCAGTTAGTTTTTATTTCTTCCAAGATTTAAGACCAGCAAATCCTAACCAGGATAAACACAAAAAGTCATATTTAGGACATAACATAGTCAATCTCCTAAAAACCAAAAATTAAAAGAAAATCTTAGGACGGAGGGAAAACAATCTGTTATATATGAGGAAACAATAATACATAACTGCTGCGTTCTAATTTGAAATGACAGAGACCAAAAAGAGACAGCATAATAACTTTAAAATGCTGAAAGAAAAGTAACTGTCAACTCAAAATTATATATCCAGTGAAAGTTTCTTTCAAGTGAACATGAACAGTTTTCAGAAAAATGAAAACCAAGAAAATCTGGCCAGCAACCTATACTATAAGAATTGCTAAAGGAAGTTTTCCAGAATGAAGAGAATTTACACATGATAAAATCTTGAATCTCCAGACAAAACTAAAGAGCAATAGTAGTGATAACTACGTGAGTGACTTGGAAAGGCTTGTATCCTTCCTTCAAAAATCAAATCATAAGATCTTAGACAAACTCAAACTGATGGACAAGTGACAAATTAAATTACTGTACCTTTTTCTTTGAAAAGGTGACTTTGAAGAATTAATGTCAAGACAAAATGTCAATGTCAAAGGCTAAAGAGCTATTCTAAATTGAAGAAAACAGGAAGGACAAATAAATACAATGTGTGATCTTGGGCTGGATGCATGCGGCGAAGAAAAAAACCTGTCATGAACTGATGACTGGTCAAAATTTGAATGAGGACTGTAAATAGTATCAATGTTCAAGTTGTTGATTGTGATTATCTTAGGCTATGCAGGAGAGGTCCTGCTTGTTGGAAATACACACTGATGTTTAGGGGTAAAGGGGTACTGTGTCAGCAACTTAGCTCTAAAGCTCAGATGGGCAAAATGTTAACAGAACAGATGATGGGTCCATGTGAATTCTTTATTCTACACATACAACTTTTCTGAGTTTGAAATTACTTCAAAGTAAAATGTTCTGAGCACTTTTCTTGTGTAAGTGTGCCCACCCCCATCCACCTTACTCATTTGGCACTGGTACATGTTCCTTGGACTCTGGTTGTGATCAGAGAAGGGGATAAAATTGGCGATCACACTCAGCAGGCTGTGTGGGAAGAGCTCCTGGTGCGTGTTAACTCCAGCACAAACCTCATCCTCAAAGATGGCAATGTTCATGAAGAGCTGGAGAAGAGGGAGGATGAGGAAGTTCAAGGCACACAATAACCATAATTGCTAATATTTTAACTCTTACTATTAGAATTCAGCTCGCAAAGTCTCTAAAAATGTTTTTCCTCACCCAGCATGTCAAAGGGACCCAGTGGGAAGCACAAGGAAATTTCTTTACTCACCTTACAGTGCCGGGCATAGTGGTGCATGCCTGTAATCCCAGCACTTGGGAGCCTGAGACAGGAGGATTGCCACAAGTTGAGGCCAGCCTGAGCTACACAGTGAGTTCAAAGCCAGCTTGAACTACACAGTGAGACCCTGTCTCAAAACAGCAAAAAAAAAAAAAGAAAAAAAAAAAAGACTGGAGCTCGCCTTATGTACTTTTTTTTTTTGGTACCAGGGATCGAATTCTGATCCTTGTGCTTACAGGGCAGGTGGCGGAGCCACTGAGCTAAATCCCCGGCCCTTATGTATTTCATTCTAGATTTACCTTCAACCGTGAGGGAGAAATAAGAGATAATTTTTCTAAGTAACATAAAGCCCAGAGTTTTGCAGCTACCAAGAGGCAAGCAAAGACTGGAGTGAGTCTAATAGATGCTTCCATCCTGCCAGCAGGAGAAGAGGCAAGTGCACAGGAGCTCTGAGAGTGGGGAAGGTGTTGTTTTAGATCTAGAATGTCCCTTAAAAGTCTTGTATGTTCAGAGATGAGCTTTTGGAAGGTGACTGGATCAGGGGGCTCCATACTCTTAGTGGATTATTGATCCATTGATGAGTTCATAGCCAAATGTCCTGTTAGGAAGTGGGGTCTATTTGGAAGGTGTGTCACTGGGGGCCTGGCTTTGAAGGATGCATTTCCCTCCCCAGCTCCTTCCTTCTCTGCTTTGTTTCCTGGCTGCCATGGGGTGAGCAACTGTCCTGCACCAGGTCCTTCTGGCATGCTGTTTGTCTTGGTGCCAACCAACTGGAGACTAAATCCTCTGAAAATTGTCAACCAAAATAAACCCCTCCTTTAAGCTTCAGGTGTTGGATATTTTGTCCCAGCAATGGAAAAGGGCAGTAATGTGACCTCCAGCCTTCTCTCAGCTCCCATGGAATAAGGTTAAGACATGGAAACTGATTAGTGGTGGCCACTGAAGGGACAGAAAGTTCTGACTTTCTACAACCTGCATGAATAAGGTAAAATTTCATGGGTGTATTTCACCCAATCTTGCTCACACTGCACTTAATAAGCAATAGCTAAGTCTCTAAAAGTTGTATACCATGCAAGCCCATAGACCAACCCATCACACACATTGTATGCACCTGTTCCATGGTTCCAATTAGTTCTTCTTTGCCTAATTCCAAATTCTGCACAGGGCGTACCAGTCTGCAAGGAGTGGTAAAAAGGAAGAGTCCTGGATACAGACTTGATTTTCCTGTGATGGGGACAAGAGCCACTTCCATCCAGGGAGGAATTCTTTTTTCTCTTAACACCTAGTTTCAACAACAACACAAAAAGTTTGATGGAAAAGCAGTATTTTAAGAAACTAAGTCATGCCAGCAATAAACCCAGTGCCCTAAAGCCATGGTTGTCCCTGCCAGTCTCATCCCACACAGCACATTATTCCCCTCTTATTCAGGGATGGCAAAAGTCCCATATTTCCATGTGGGCGCAACCTTGAGAACACTGTAATATGAAATAACCCAGTCAAAAATTCCCAGAATAGTTAAATTTATAGAGACAGAAAGCAGAGCATATGGCAGAAACTAGGAAAGATGAAAATTAAGTTACTGTTTAATGACTACAGAGTTTCAGATGGAGGTGATGAAAAAGATATGGTTGGCTAGGGATTTAGCTCAGTAGTGCTGCTGCCTGCCTTGCTAGTGCAAGGCCCTGAGTTTGAACCCCTGTAGATCTGGCAATGGATACTGGTAATGGTTGCACAACAATGTGAATGCACTTAATACCACACTTAAAATAGTTGAAGTGGTAAACTGTGTTATGCATATTTACCATAAAAATAAAGCAGGAACCAGTCCACTGACTAAATTTGGCACAATATGAGCATCAGTAAAGATGCTAGTAACAGCTGATGTGGTAACGCACCCCTGTAACCCCAGCACTTCGGAGGCTGAGGCAGGAGAATCATCTCAAGTTCAAGGCCAGCCTGGGCCACACAGTGAGACCCTGTCTCAACCCCTCCTCGTATAAAGATAGTAACAAATTATAGTCATGAGATAAAAACAAGCATCTATAAATCTATTCTGATGTAAAAGAACAAATAAACAAGGAAAAAAGCTGTCACAGAATAACAAAGGTTGAGTCAGAAAACATCATTTAGAGACCCCCACAGTAATAATTAACTCATAATGGAATATTGAGGATTCAGCAAAGAATTAATCAACTAGTGGGTGGAAATTAGATGAGGAAAAGAGCTTTACCATGGCTTAACTACTTTTTCCACAAATTACTTATTACAGACAAAAACAGTGATCGTACAGTGGGTAACCTAAAATCACCTTAAAGAGATTAAAGTTAACATCACACGGGATAAACTAACATCAGATGCTTCCTGAAATGATCAAGAGAAAGTAACAAACCTCAATTAAGGGATGGTTGGCACAGTAGCTGCTGCAGCTCCAGTGAAACTACAAAAAAATGCATGTGCACAACAGGTCTGCCACCAATCTCAATGAACAAGGTCAGTCAGCAAGGCAAGACTCCCACCAGAGGGATGGTTACAGGCACCTCTGGAATGAGCTTCAACTGAGCCCTCTGACACTGATCCTTTCCAGACTGCCCTGAGGCTACCTCATCAACCAGAAAAGGACTGAAACAGAAGGTCAAGGGATATGACAACCTGCAAAGACCCAGGATCACCTTAAAACGACGGAGAGAATCTGCGATGCCAGGAGCAAGCTCCTTGTCCACCCAGCCCACCATGACGCCATCCAGAAGGACAGGATAGCACTCACTGTATGGGCAATGTGGTGTTCCATCAACAGGCATGACCCCTGGTACAGGGAACAAGGAGAATGATCAATCAGGTGCTGAATGCAACATTTCCAATTCCCTCCAAGTGGGCGAAATCTTTCTGTGGATATCTAACTGTCCCGTCTCTAAATCAGGTGGTTTTGTATCATTTTGTGTAAGTAAAAATCACTTCAGTAAGGTCACATGAGAAATTAGTATCTGCTTGCCTGTGACAAGACTAGCTGGGGGACAGGGTACAAGGGAGGCTTTCCACTGTATATTTTTTTAATGTTCTGATTTCTGAGCCATGGAAATGTGTTAGCTTCTTCCAAAAAAATCTAATTATAGTTGATCTTCATTACTTGCAGATTCCATATTTGCAAATATGCCCACGATACGTTTTTTTGGGGGGTACCAGGGATCAAACTCAGAACCTTGCGCTTGTGAGGCAGGCAGCGGCACCACTGAGCTAAATCCCCAGCCCACGATACATTTTTTAATAACAAAATACTATGGGCTCTTTCAGGGTCCTGGAGCAAAAAGTGAATCACCAGTACACACACTCTGCTTCTTCTCTCTGCTCTCACACTGTATATAAGTGTCCTTTTCAAGGTTTACTCAATGATAGTTTTTTGCATTTTTGATGGTGATTTTATTTAAGATGACTCTCAAGTATAGTGCCAAAGTGGTCTAATGTTCCTAAAAGCAAAGCAGCTGTAGTATGCTATACAGATAAAATACGTATGTTAGACATACTTGCAGTGCTCTTGACTGTGAGTTCAACATTAAATTTGTGGGAACTGAGTCCTTATTTCCTTGAGCCCAAGGAGCATTGGTTCAGTGTCACTAATTCAGTGTTAGCAGTAAATTTATAGAATACAAGGACTACAAATAATGAGGATCAACTGTAGTTAAGTGAAAAAGAAGAGTCTTCCACACACTAAAACTACCTTCTGGGGACAGCAAGTAACACAGGTGACCCACTCAGTGTTTCACCTCTCATCCTAATAACATCATGTCTACAGGAAGTCAGTTGGCCATTTCTCTTCTGACTTCTTCCCCAGTGCAAGAGCAAATAACCCTTCCCATATTTTCTGCAGTTGGATATATTACATATTTATAAATTTCTTTTTCTCTTCTCCTGGCCTTCGACATTTTTTTTTTTGTGCTGGGGACCGAACTCGGGACCTTGTGCTTGCGAGGCAGGCGCCAGAACCACTGAGCTAAATCCCCGGGCCTAAAGTTTTGTTTCCTTTTTTTTTTTTTTGGTACTGGGGATCGAACTCTGGTCCTTGTGCTTGCGCAGCAGGCGGCAAAACCACTGAGCTAAATACCTGGCCCGCCTTTGACATTTTTAATCTCTGGTAGCAAACAAAACTATTGTTTTCCTTGCAGCACAAATGGACAGATTACACTGATTATATCCTCCGAATGTTGATTATTTCTTGATTACTTTCTCCGAGGCTCCCTTCTCAAAAGTTATTCTCTAACTAGGAGTAGTACTATTAAGCAGAAATTTCTTGATCCCTGACTCAATGGCCTTTGGTTGCTTGAGAATATCTATTATCTCATCCCTACAAACTGAAAGTTTTACTATATCAACACTAATTCTATTGGAGACTGCACCCATAGACCACGAAAGGCCCAGAACACTTCCGGTTTGTAAATCACAACAGCAGAACTCTAGGACAAAAAGATGGTAAAACACTCAAGGAAAAAAGGCTGATCTCTTCACCAATAAAGGTAAACTTAAACCAAATACACAATCTGCAAGAATGATAAGACAGCTTCCTAGTCAAAGCAGAGACAGTTACAAGGCTACCAGGAAGAGAGGTCATGTATCTGATGACATCAGGCTATACATTGGTTCCTTGGTTTACGAACTTGATTCTTTTCACAATTTTGGTTGCCAACTGAGGTGGATGAGAACTGAGTCAAATTCAACAGTTAGGTTCAATGCTGACCTTATGGGGAAATTTGATTTGGTTCTTGTCCAGTTCAGTTTGTGACCAAAATCAGAGAGAATTGAGTTGGTGAACCAAGGTACCACTGTACCACGCAATCTCCTTTTTAACTGTCTTCCTGCAAACCAACACTGTTTTCTACTTAAAGATGCAAAGGTGTACCAAAAAAATACCATACACAACGGCTGCTAAATTTTTTTTTTTGGTACCGGGGATCAAACTCAGGACCTTGCACTTTCGAGGCAGGCAGCAGAACCACTGAGCTAAATTCCAAGCCCCAGCTTCTAAATTTTTAACATTAACTGCTACTGATCTATTGAAAATAGCCCAGCTCTGGCATAGAATGAAAAATAATTCTTGGAAAAATTCTCTAATGAACCTCTAAAAGAACTCAATGGTTTGCTGCTGTTAAAAACCATAAAACCAAAGAAGGTTGCTTACTGGTGTATACCACCTACCCAAGGTGCAGAGCAAAGCTGGAATAGACGTTGTATATGCAAACTGTGTGACGACCTCACATATGGCAGTAAGGTGGTTCATTAGACCACATGGTGCCCCATCTGGGGTGTTTACGGGACAAAGGAAGCCCCAGGACTCTGGCAGCAGCCTGCGTACTGTGGTGGTCCTCATCTTAGCAAAATCACCTCCTCTGTGCACACAGCGGAAATGGGAGAGATAGCGAATGAAGTTCAGCTTGTCAGCCACAACACAAAGTCCAGAATCTTGCATGAAGCCAAGACCTTAATAAAACAAAAGCCACTGAAAAACATGTCAAATTTTTAAAAGTCCACTTTTGAGGCTTTGTTAAACTGACAAAACCTCAGAGCACTCTATAGATCACAGATTGGGATATTAAATATTTACTCAATTAGTTCTGATGAGTGTGAAGAATTTACAGAAAATAATTTTTTAAATCCCCAAGTTTCACAAATTATATATGCCCTAACTGGTAGCCTATCTCCTCTAGCACACTAACAAAAGAATCTGTATCAGTAGCACCTGTATTTTAAAAAGGCAGATTTTTTTTTTTCTGGGTTCAAATCGCCACTTTTTAAGCTTCCCAGATCATTCAGATAGTTTGGGGATGGGCATATAGAGCAACTCTTACAGACTTCCTGTTAGTAATCCTTCCTCACACACCTAAGTGGTCTGTAGTGTTTTAGGAGGCAAACAAGTATATGTGGTCATTAGGGTTGGATTTAAGCTACACAGATTTGAAAAGCCTTCAGACCAATAGACACTGATCAAAATATAACATGAAAAAAAAAAACCTCCCTCAGTGACACATAAATCTACATTATGCAAATAACTTGAAAAATATCACACACTTGATCTTAGCCAAAAAGCCAAGAAGCAATGTGAAAAATATTACAAAAGTAAAGGCTATCTATTGAATTTCACCTGTTTTTGAACGCAGATTCCCAGTAGCAAGAAGATATTCAAATGGTCTTGTCAAGTCTCCTCCCATACTAAAAATCTTCATCAAATTTTCAGTGTTTATGGATACATTGGTTTTCTGAGCCCTCTTATCTAATGCTATTTTAATAGACATTAACCAAGCTTCCATTTTTTCCTGAAATAAGGAAAATTTAAATTTTAAACAATGTTTTAATTGCCACAAATTTCATATTTACTATCATATAATCTGTATAATCCCAACAAAGGACCACTCATACACTTGACATGGAAAATATGTAAACTACAAACCTGAGAAACAGCTCTTCAGCGTTCTACTGGAGGCCAGGCATTTCTTTTTTTTTTTTTCAACTGGGGGTTGAATATTTGCACTGATTCACATCCCCAGCATGTTTTTACTTTTTATTTTTTAGGTACCAGGGATCGAACTCGGGACCTTGCACTTGCAAAGCAGGCAGCTGAACCACTGAGCTAAATCCCCGGCCCTTTACTTTTTATTTTGAGACAGGGTCTTGCTAATTTGCCTAGGCTGGGCTCAAACTTTCAATCTTCCTGCCTCAGTCTCCCGGGGTTCTAGGATTACAGGCATGCACCACCATGTTCTACATGAGACCTGGTATCATTTAAAACAGAAGACAAACTAGTGTAAAGCATGGCTTCTTAATTCAGCACTATGAACGCTGTGGCTGGAGAGTTGTGTGAGGGGCTGTCCTATGTGAATTGTAGGGTGTTTAGCAATGTCCCTGGCCTTTACCCAGTTTCAGTCTGCCCTTGGATGTTGAATCTAATCTGGAGACTTTGAGCTCTTGGTTACTTTTCTTCTTGACAACACTGCAGGGATTGCTGCTTTGGTCTCAAATGCCTACGGCAGAAGGGGAGATGCCACAGAGATGATGAGCTGCTTCTACATTGTCTGTTAACAAAGTCCAGAAAGGACACTCTGTAATGTCTCTCACTCCTTCAGCCCAGAAGAATCACCTGATCACACAGGATGCTGCAATCTCTGCCGCCAATGCTCAGTGAAATGGCTAAGTAGTGTGCGATTCATTTTGTCACTGTCATGTAATATTCTGAAGACTTTTCATGTCTCAAGCTCAGAGATTTGGAAGCTTAAATATGGTTGGTAAAAGGTCAGGAAATCAGATGTTCTAAAGCAGTGAAATCTCTCAAACAGTTTCTATTTCCTCAGTTGCTGACACAGACCGCCTTAATGACTTGCTTTTGAAGACACAGTCCTAATAGTGTGTGGTACCACGGACCAGGACGCTTCAGGTTAAGGACAGAGCTGGGAAATGCACATCAGCCTTTACCTGAAAGGCTACAGATACTTTTGGTGCTTGATTTCAATTCCAGCCCGCTGAAATTTTCAATTTTAATTTTATGGACAGAGCAGATAGAAACAAAACAAAACAAAATCTTACCTTTCAGTGAAAATTTAAGAATGACTAGGTAAGGAATTAGAAGATTTTTTTTTTTAACTTTAGTTCTCTCTATCTCCCATCCTACTACATTATCTCTTAGAGTAAATCATTTAGATAATACGCAAAATATAAAATGCCTGCAACTTTCAAATTTCCTATGAATCATGATTTTGTTGTTTTTTTTCCTGATGGCTTCACTGCTGAATTTTTTTTTGTTTTTTAAATTCTTTTATTGGTACATTTTAGGTATACAATACATTTATATTTCTCATTGGGAACTTGTACCTTTGTATATGAAATCATGTTTGTATCATGCTAACTCTCTTTGGCACTAGTCATACCTAAATGCAGTCAGTTCTCACTTTTCATAGTGGTTATGTTCTATGCTGTCATTGTAAATATCAATTAGTGAATACTGAACTATTGCTCCCAGGAGCTCAGAACTGCAAGTCTCTGATCAGATCACTTGTCAGCGGATCAATATGTAACACACTATTTTATGTGATTCTGTTGAAAGATACCTTATTTATTATATACTGCTGTTTCATTAACATTGAACTCACAGGCACAGTACAGTGTTCTCACGTTTAGGAACATTAAATAGCATTTTTGTACTATGCTTGGGGGCCATCTTAAACAGCAAAAAAAGCACAAAAATGGGCAAAAAAATATGACACTAGGTAGAAGTCAAAAAGGACCCTTCTTTACATACAAAAGCTGAGAAGGCAAAGCATCACCTTGTTCAATCTCAAGCAGGAACATGTATGAATCAGGAGACTAGTTTTCATTGCTCTCCCCACGTCTGTGAATGGCTAAGAAAGTGCTGGGTACAAATAAATGTTATAAATAAATAAATTTTAACATACAGGCTATTTATAATTAATGCTAAGACCATGATTTGATGTTATCTTTAGGCTATCTAAAGTTTTCTTTTTTTTTTTTTGGTACCAGGGATCGAACTAAGGACCTTGTGTTTTCTAGGCAGGCGGTAGCACCACTGAGCTAAATCCCTGGCCCTTATCTAAAAATTTTAAATAAGCCAGACATAGTGGCATATACATATAACCTCCCCACTCTGGGGGACTCAGGCAGTAACATCGAAAGTTTGAGCCTAGCCTAGGCAACCTGGTGAGACCCTATCTCAAAATTTAAAAATTAAATAAAAAGGGCTGGAGATACAGCTCAGTGAAAAGGCCCTAGGTTCAATCCCCAGTACCACAAAAATAAAATAAACATTAAATTACTGAACCTGGTATGCTAGGATTTCTGACCAAGTCTCTCATGGGTACACAGAGACTATGGAAAATGCCAAAACTAGAAATGATAAACATGCTGAACACAGGATTTGACCACCCTACTCCATGAGTGGGACAGGTGGTACAGGGTGAAAGCAGCATGCATTTACCTTTAGAAACATAAGGAAGAGCTGACCAGGAGTAAGGATTTCTTGATTTACTAAACTATCAGGATTCTCCTCCATACACTCTCCTTTGGCTAAAGCAAAGAGCTTCCGGGTCATGAAACAAAGCAAGTGAAGCTTTTCAATATTGGATTTCAAGTGGATGCAGATACACTGGCTGTAAAATAGAAAGAAAAAAGCTTAAAACAACACAGTCGCTAGTCCCATTTAATGTCCTACTGACCAAGGCCCATAATTTACATTTACTTTAAAAAGTCCTTACTACAAAACATTGCTTCTCATCTTTACTGGCAACATTAAGCCAAAGAAGAGAATATCATCACAAAGTCTAGAGCTATGCTGGCTAACGTGGCTATTTAAATTTAATTAAAATTAAAATTAAGAATACAGATGCATGGGCCACATTTCAATTGCTCAGAATGTGGTTTGTGGCTTCATAATGGACATCACTGGACTCCAGCTGGTCTCCTTTAGTAATTATACAGTGGTTACACGAGACAAAGTCCTTGCTGTGGGGAAATAAAGCAACATGATGACTGTAACTTTCAAAGAGTATGAAAGAAAACGTGTATCTATGTGCAAAGTAATTAAGTAAATATAGTAAACCATGAACCACATTAGTAGCTGTCTAATGTGTTATTTGCACATTTCTCTGAAGTAATTATTTCAAAATAAAAGTACAAAAAAATGACATGAAGTTATGGTAAGAGAGAAAAGCAAAGATGGCCACAGAGACAAAGCTGGTTCTAATTGGCCAGGACCAGGATTCTACCCCAGTTTCACTCTGATGACTTGTGGGTACATGCTGCAATCCATGTCATCCCTCCACCCTACTCCCAACCCCAAAACACAAACGCAGACCAAACACACGTACTCAAACAGGAACTCTGTAGCTTGTTCATTTGAGTACCAGTCAGGAAGATTGAGCTTTACTCTGAAGCATTCACCTAGATAGTTAAGGACCTGTTTTTGTGTGGAACAACCCTCTTCCATTACGATCCTTAGCATCTGAGAAACAGAGTTCCTAAAGAAAGAGTCATCCTCTTTTCCCTTGACAAGCTCCTGAAAAATCTGATAATCTGAAAAGCTGACCAGTGCCTAAAATAGAAAAAAAAAAGTTTTATAAAAATCATTCACCAATAACAACTAAAATATTTAGTTACAATTCTCTTCTCTAATTTTTTTTTTTTTTTGAGACAGGGTCTCACTTTGTAGTTCAGGCTGGGTCTGAACTCACTATGTAGCCCAGGCTGGCCTCGAACTTGCAGCAATCCTCCGGCCTCAGCTTCCCAAGTGCTGGGATTATAGGCATGTGCCACCACGCCCAGCTTCTTCTCTATTTTTAATACTGGGAAAAAAAGTAGCACTCCACTATTGCTCAACTGAACTTTTCAAAATAAAACATTTTTTGTATGATAGCCTCCAAGAAACCACACTCAATCAGGGTTTGTCTGTATGACTACGAAAATACAGCAAAGAGACTCCCAAGGCTAGGCCATAAAGGGCACTGTGGCTCCTTCCTTGTTCTCTTGGCTATCTAGGGCAGTGATGGTGAACTTTTAGAGCTTTTAATGACACAAACAGCCTGCTGTGGCACTTGTGCCATAGCTTTGCCACCACCGATTTAGGGGAACACTGCTAAGAGGAAGTGAGACCTCACAAAGCCAGCGCCAACTCAAGAGCCAAGTGAGTGAACCACCTTGGAGGTGGACCTTCCAGCTTTGGTCAAATCTTTAAGGTGATTGCAACACCTACTGACATCTCACTGTGAATTCCTGAGACTCAAAGCCACAACTGCCTAGCCATGCCATTCTCAAGTTTCTGACCCACAGAAATTCACTGATGTTATAAGCTACTGAATCTTGAGGCAATCTGTTATGGAGCAGTGGATAAATAAAAGAGCATGTTCTTATAACAAAGAGAACCCATCTAATGTACACAGGATGCGACTTCCAATGGATCTCTTCATGACAGAAGAAATATATTCACTGAGTCATACCTTAAGAGCAAATCCCAAAGGAAGAAAAAACAGTTCTTTCCGGTAAATGAAGTTTAACATAACTGTGCCATTTTCCAAATAGTGAAGGTTCATATTGACAGCAGAATGGTCTCCCCTCACACAGTGCATAGAAACCCCTATTGAACAAATACATAAAATCATAAGCTTGGTAATACTACAATTGCTTCAATTGTTATTTTTTCTGAATTGTTTTACTCTCTTAGACATAATTAAAGCCAAATCACTAAGTTTAATCAAAAGTTGATTTTTGGCCATGCCAAAATGTCCTGTGGGAAGAAAACATCTCCCCAGGTTGTGAAACTGTGATATCAAGAAACTATATTCCAAGGCCACTGTAGAGCAGAATCTTCCACTTTGTAGAGTCTGATCAAGAGATGGTGGCTTGACCCAACAATTCAAATGGAGAAAAGCAAAATTTTAGAGTTTTAGTTTATCCTGGCTTCAGACAAAGATTGCTAACACATACTACATCAACTAAAACAAAAGAATAAATGCCTAGACATTCAGACATGCTGAAACACCAATTATTTGTTTATTTATTTTGCAAGACTGGGGATTGAACTCTGGGCTTTTGCACTGAGCAACATTCCCAGCCCTTTAAAAAAGAAAAATATTTTTTTAAATTTTGAGACAGAGTCTCATCAAGTTGGCTAAGATGGTCTTGAACTTGGATCCTCCTTCCTCAGCTTCCCACAGTGCTGGGATTAAAGATATGTACCACTACACCTAACTTGAGATACTGTTTTTCTAAATGACATAATATGGCAACAATCAAAGGCTGACTTTGGTCTTGCTTATAAAGATAAACTGTTTAACTGTAGAATGCCACTTGCTCTCTGATGAGACCCAAGGGAAGTGCCAAAGTAGCCTGAACTAAAGGACTTCCAAGGCCCATGCTCACCTACAACCAAGTCAAGTCAGCCTTCATCTTCATAAGCAGTAACAAATACATGGAGTTCTTCAGTTTGGAAAAAACAGAAAGTAGGACTCCCACTATGTAATCAAGGTCTATTTTTAAACATTTAAAAATACTTACCTGATAAAATTGTATGTACTGAAGTGATGACTTAATACATATACAGACAGCCCCAACTTAATGATGGTTTGACCTGAAATTTTTTGGTTTTACAATGGTGCAAAGGTCATACACATTCTGATCTTTTCCCAGATTAGCAATGTCATGTGATATTCTCTCATTAGGCTGGATGTCAGCCACATGATCAAGATAGGATATTCTACCATGTACTATGTTGCCAGTTAGTTCTGGACACTATTTTGTGTTTTTGTATCCCATCGTGTCATTATGTGACCAGCATGTGTACATGAGATAATCCTTTATTGTAACACAGGCTTTGTGTTAGATCACTATGCCCGACTCAACACTAATGTAAGTGTCCTGAGCACATTTAGGTAGGTTAGCCCATGCCATGATGTTTAGTGCATTAAGTGCATTACAATGTACGGTATTTTCAACTAAGGACTGGTTTATCAGTATGTGATACCATCAGTCAATGAACGTCTACACAATGTGTAATGATTACCATAATTAAATTGATTAAGACATCAATCACCTCCCCATAGTTACCATCTCTGTGTGTACACACCCACATGTGCTAGTCAGAACATTTAAAATCTTCATTACTAAATTCCAGATAAACAATACAGTATCATTAACTGTAGTAACCATACTGTACACTGATATCAGAACTTATTCATCTTATAACTGAAATTTGTTCCCTTTGATCAATCTCTCTATTTCTTTCTCTACCTCCATTACAAATCTTAACCCAAAAATGATTAATAGAAAAACAAAAATTATGTAAGAGAAAAAAACTATTAAAAATGCTACAAAGATGCATCTTAAAACATTTTTTATTAATATTATTTGGGGTTTTTTTGTTTTTTTGTTTTTGTTTTTTTTTTTTGGTTTTTGAAACAAGATCTTGCTATGTAGCTCAGGCTGACCTTGAACTCACTATGTCACCTAGGGTGGCCTGGAACTTCCAGCAATCCACCTGCTTCAGCCTCCCGAGTGCTGGGATTACAAACATTATACCACTATGTCTGGCAAAGATGCGTCTATTTTTTCTTTTTTTGGTACTGGGGATTGAACTCAGGTGCTTGCACTCGTGCAGCAGGCGGCGAAACCACTGAGCTAAATCCCTGGCCTGATGCATCTATTTAAAAAAAAAAAAAAGTTTTAAACTTTTCTAAATGAACATTCCAATGATCATTAAAACTTACCAAACTGAGTATAACCTGGCCCTCTGCTTTTCCACTTTGGTCTTATCAACGCAATGGGGAAATTTCTCCTAGGCATAATTAGCATTCGGATGACCTTTTCAATGCCATTGATTATAAAATATCCTCCCATTTCCTGCCAAAGAAATGAATTATAATTTGTTAAACAAAGGCACATGACTAACTGTAAACATGAACTTTATTTCAAGCCAGGTGTAGTAGAACATACGGAAGGGAATACACAGGTGAAAGGGACTGGTGATTCCTTGAAAATAGTAAAGATGTGTGATCAATAGTCTTCTTGAGTATGTTAGGGACATGGGAGAGAGTATGGAAGGAAAACAGGGCACTGTCCTTCTACCAGACAGGCACAACCTAACTTGTGTTTCTGTTCCCCTAAAATTACTGCAATCTTCAAATGATATTAAAAAACAAAACTCCAAAGAGAAGTCTAAAGATAAAAATGGTAACTATTTTGGTTCTATATGGTTTAGCAAATAAGTAAAAACCTGGTTGTACGAAGACTGGGAACTAGAAATTTGGTTAGCTAAACATAGAAAAATATTCTCTTGGTGAGTGGTTTTTTTTTTTTGTATCAGGGATTGAACTCAGGATCTTGCACTTTCGAGGGAGGTGGTGGAACCACTGAGCTAAATCTCCAGCTAGAAAAATATTCTCAAGAAAATATTTTCAATAGCACCAGTCAATTTCATACTTGTGCAATAAAGAGCTATTAACTAGTTGCTTACTATGAAACAAACATATGCTAGATGCTTACTTCCTCATAAGATTTAACCCTTGTAATAATGAATAGGAAGCTATTATGCCCATTTTCAGCAGAAGAAACTGAGGCTCAGGAGATTAAAATTCCCAAAGCTACACAACTGGCAGGTGAAAGAGCTGGGTAGCAAACCAAGAGCTGACATCAAAAACCTTTTTTCCACAGTATAACAGTGTCCCTATTGCAGGCAATCTAGATGTTGTGATTACTTCAACTCCATACTGCAAAGCCACCTAACACAGTTAAAAGAAATGATGAGGGGAAGGTACATCAGTCATTTAGTATGCTCACAGAATCTCACTATCAGTAAAACAGGCATTCCTGCAATATTTATAGTTTAATACAGCTTTAAAAAATATTTCTTGGAAGCACATCCCTAAATATACATGATTCAGAAAATTAGAGGAAAACCTACCAGTTCTTTTCCCAAACAAGAACTGTATAACTAATTCTATAGCTGCTTGTTCATACTATCCCAGCTGACAGGCATCAAGAGCTATACACAGTATGCAGACAAGATATTAATGCCCCTCTTATCCAGAAACTGGAACTTGGAGGAGACAGAAAAAACGTGCTCCCATGGACAAGCTTCCTGTCTTCACATTCCCAAACTAGGCCTTCACTATGGTCATGCAGCCCAGGCCCCTGTGGTCACCTCTGCCTCCTCATGGTGTTCAATGAGGGCCTTTGGAGGAAGGTTGTGCAAGTTGCAAAGCTTGGACTTCACCATGATGGGAACATGGCCAAGAAACTGCTTAATGACTCCTCTTGAGATTCCATTCACCGACCAGCTGATATCGGCCTACATGAAATCAGAGAAAAAAATTAAAGAAAAGATCTGAATCTGTGAGGCAAAGGAGAATTCTAAATGAGAGAAAGAAAATTATAATTAAATCTCATGTTGTAGATTTGGAAGATGATGACAGTATTGAGAAAGCAAAAGTCTAGTATAAAACTTCTTAGGAATCAACCACATTATCAAAAATGGGCGACAAGAGCCACACGCTGCCACTGATACTCACTGTCAGCTTTCCCCGGTAAGTACTCCTTCGGCCTCGGCATTCTGCTGGATAAACACTGAGCTCTTTGCAAATGGTCCCTTTAGGAACTGTGGGTGGACTGATGACAGCATCCACAATAGTAAAAGAGATTCGCTCATCTTTGAAAGCAAATTCAAAGGAAGGAATAGCCTGAAACACAATGCACACCATTAAGTAAATGGCTTCTATTTTTTAATGCACTTTTTCTCTAAGACTTTTCCAAATCCTTTATGTTCTTTTTTTTGGTTTGGTTTGGTTTTTGTTTTTTGAGACAGGGGCTTGCTATGCAGTTCGGGCTGGCCTTGAACTCACTATGTAGCCCAGGCTGGCCTGGATCTCACAATGATCCTCTTGCCTCAGCCTCCCAAGGGCTGGGATTACAGGCATGTACCACCATGCCTGGCCCAAATCTCTTATGTTCTACAAGCAATATATTGATTATCAATAATGCCAAAGTGACACATGTAAAAAGAACAGTAAAGAGTAGCCCTTTCCTGCAGCCCACCCATAACTTCATTAATTACTTAGAAATTATAATGCACTAACTAAGCATTTTTCTGATTGTGCATATGTACCTGATTCTACAGTAGGCCCTAAGGATACAGCTATAAAGAGGCCTTTCCTCAGGGCCGGGGATTTAGCTCAGTGGTTCGACACCTGCCTTGGAAGCACTAGGTCCTGAGTTTGATCCCTGGTACCAAAAATAAAGATGCCTTTCCTCTAAACCAAATGTCTGCCTTCTCCTATCTTGTATACTCTCTGTGGACAGAAAAAAGGGGACCAGGGAGAGGACTACTGCTAACAGGCCAAGGATGGGGACATAGCCTTCTGATTTAGGACCAGACACTTTTAATACCATTCTTTAGGTTGATACTTTCACATTTCATTCCATGCTGGCCTCTTACTGAAGTCAGAGCCATGCAAAGGGAAAGGTGGTGGCCAAAGTGGGCTTCTCCCTTCCACAGCAGCTACTTTTCTGCACCACTCCCTGGAAGCTTTGTTATTCTTCTGAGGAGGCCTCCAGAGATTTCTTATATATTAACTATGAACAACTGCGGATAAGAGAATCCAGCTGTCTTCTAATAAGCCAGGCATTAAAAATGCAATTCACTTATTAATACTTTTTGCCTCAGAAAATATTTTTCATAAAATGTTAATATATAATTGGTTTATTTTTAAATGGATTAAAAATTCTAAAAACTCAATTTTAATTTGTAACAAACACCAATAAATAGAAGCTCTTTAGGGGTCCCCCAAGAATTTAAAGCAAGAGGTCTTGGGAAAAAAAATTTGGGAACTTCCAGTCTACATACATATTACTAATTCTATGCATGTCTTTTATTTGAGCAAGTCTTCCCTAATTATCTCAATCCTGGACTCCTTTGTCATTATTTTAATAAATCCTAGGATCGGTTCACTTTTAATTAGATATAATTTTTCTCAGACATCTTTTCTCCCTCAAAAGGGTTAAGGAATATTAATCTCCAAAGAAATCTTAATGGCTCCCATAGTATTTGCAAGTATCAGACTGGCAATAGAAGGTCTCCACATTATCCCTACTCCTTTCTCTCACAACACAACTCTTACTTCCTCTACACTTGCCTAATTCAGAACTGGGGCCTAGTAGTTTCTCTCCTTAATATCCTAAGAAAAGAAAACTAAAGCCTGATCTTGCACATTACAATCTATCCCTGAGTCAGTTCAGAACCTTCCAAGGTAGTTTGGAAAGGACTTCAAGGGATATAAAGTAGTGTGCACCTTTATGTTTGGGTAGCATGCCCCAGATGGCCCACTTCCTTGCTCTCCCAGGACCCCGAAACAGTCCTACAACAAACCTCGGCTCAAGATTATATAACCCGGAAGGCCAGAAATCAAATCCATCTCCCCTGGTCGACTCCAGGGCAAGTCGCAGGAGGCCAAGGCCAGCATCTGTTCTACGTCTGCTTTTCCCTCCCTCTAGTACCCACAAAGCCCAGCACGATCACGGAGCATGAGTACTTAGGGTTATACTGCGGCCCCCAGCCATCTCCCTGGGGCCCCTGCCCCATTCCTCCCGGGCCCCACCGGCCCTCCCGCGGAGCTTCACTCACCACGCCCCTTCCCCCGTTTCTCCCCTACCCCCCGGACTCCTCTCCTAAGCCAGCTCCGGGGTCAGCCCCGCTGTTCCTAGCGGCGTCGGGGACAAAGCGCTGAAAGGAGCCCGGTTGACGCCGCGATCACCTGCACCGCTTGGCTGAGCCCCTCGCACACGGCGTAATTGAAGGAGTCCACGTGCGCCCGCGTCAGCTCTTGCAACGCCGCCTTCTGCTGCTCCCGCGGGATCCTATACGAGGGGTTGGTCAGATGCTTTAGGCTAGGCCCGCCCGGCAGGTTCCGCCACCGGCCGCTGGGATCCATGAGACCGCCGCACCTGGGAAACCCACGATTGCTCCACGTTAGTCGAGCGAAGTGGGCGGAGCCCCGACGCCCACGGCCTCCTGGGAAATGTCCCTCCTGTTCAGCCGACCTCAGTCCTTCGCTTTTATAGGGTCGGCTTGGAACCAAAACCATGGCTTGAACGGGCCGGCTAAAAAGGTGCAGAGCTAGAGCAGAGGGAACCGCCCCCTGCTTCCCCACCCAGATTCCTCTGATGGGAAGTTAGGGAAGGGGTGTCCAAGTAGATTTACAGTGTTAAGGCCTAGTGAGCCTATGAATCATTTATCTTCCCAGAACACTGGACAGAGTCCCTGCTGCTATTTTTCAACTTTATCGTGTGTGTATTTAACAACTGTATTGTAGTATCACTGACAGTAACCACATACATTCAAAATTGTATGCGTTAAGTTTTGAGTTGTGTGCATCCTTGTGTTGACTTGTGGGTACACTTGTGTGTATACTTGTATTTACACCCATGAAATAATCGCCAAAATTAAGACAATGAGCTATTCCACCATTCCCCAGTGTCCTCCTGCCCCTCGGGAATCCCTCCTCCCATCAACTTCACCTTTTCCTACTTCAGCTGATAATTTTCATTTCTATATCGCTTTTAAAGAAGTTATCTTCTGTGTCCATTTTTTCTTGACATCACCATATCTACCAAGATTTACGCATCTGTAACCGAGATTCTGCCTTCCCTCCCCTCAGAATGTCTCAGCTTGTCTTAAGGAAGGCCCTTTTCTTTTACTTTTGGTTCTTTGACACAGTCTCACTATGTAGCCCAGGCTGGCCTCGAATTCTCGGCAATCCTCCTGCCTCAGCCTTCCAAGTGCTGGGATTACAGGTGTGCACCACCACACCTGGCAGAAAACCCTTCTTTCTTTCCCTTTTTTTCCTAGTCAGTGACTCTTGGAAGGGAGGAGAATAAAAGGATTATTGCAGGGCAGCAGGGGTGGGGTGGGGGGGGGGGTTAGCTCAGTGGTGCCACCACCTGCCTTGTAAGCCCAGGGTCCTGAGTTCAATCCCTGGTACCAAAAAAAGGGATTATTGCAGAAACAATAATTGTCATCAGTATACCAACTAGCAAAGTTCTTAAGAAATTCACAGATCCTTTATTCTTTTTCAGCTAACAAATCATTTCTCTGCTCCCCTTACAACACAAATGGTAAAAAGGATTTGACCACCCTTAGTTTCTCTCCACTGTTTCAGGTTCAGTACTGGGATTTAACCAAGAGAGCACTGACCTACATCTCCAGCCTTTATTATTAACAGTAGTATTTTGTTTTGAGATAAGGTCTGGCTAAACTGCTCAGGCTGGCCTTGAACTTGAGATCTCCTGCCTTGGTTTTCCTAGTAGCTGGGATTACAAGCATGCATCACCATGCCCCACTTATCTTTTTATAGTTCAGTTGTAATAATACTTCAAATAGCCAGTGCCAGTCCTTATTCAGCAGTGACTTGCAAATATTTTCTCCAATTCTGTATGTTATGATTTTATATCCTTGATGGTGTTGTTTTGTTTTTGTTTTGGGGGGTTTTTTGGTAACAGGGATCAAACTCAGGTCTTTGTGCTTTCAAGGCAGGCAGTGGAACCACTGAGCCAAAGCCCCGGCCCTGATGGTGTTTTTTGAAGTAAAAATTTTAAATTAAGGTTTTTGTTCTTGTTGTAAATGCTTGTGCTGTTGGTGTTACATCTAAGAAATCAATGCCTAAGGTCCTGAAGATTTATACATATGCTTTCTTCTAAGAGTTGTAGTTTCAACTCTTATGCTTAAATCTTTGATCCATTTTGAACTAGTTTTTATATAAGGTATGAAAAAGACATATCACATCATTCCTTTATAAACGTATCTCCAGTTGTCTTAGAACCATTTGTTGAAGACTTTCTTTCCTTCAAATGCACTGTCTTAGCCTATTTGTCCAAAACCAACTGAACAAAACCATGTGTGATGGTGCATGACTGTAAGTCCAGCACTTGGTAGGCTGAGGCAGGAGGATTACTGCAAATTTGAGGCCAGCCAGGGCTACATAGTGAGTAGAAGGACAGCCTGAACTACACAGTGAGACCTTGTTTCAAACAAACAAAAAAACCAAAACAAAACATCAACTGAACATAAATGCAAAGGTTTATTTCTGACCCAATTCTATCCCTCTGACCTATCTTCTTTCTGCCAATACCACAAAATTTTATTTGCACAGATCTGTGATAAATTTTGAATTTAGGAAGTGTACATCCTTCTACTCTATTCTTTTTCCAGCTTGCTTCAGCTATACCTGATTCTTGTATTTCTGCATGAATTTAGTGTCAGCTTATCAATTTGTGTGAAAAGGGAAGCTGAGGTTTTTGAGATTTCATTCAAAATGTAGTTCAATTTGGGACCTATTTTCATCTAATAATTGTCTTCCAATCCATGAACAAACAATCCTATATTTATTTAGGTGTTTTAATTTTTTTTTCAAAGATTTTTGTAGTCTGGGGTGTACAATGAATTTTTATTGTATTTTATTTTTTGGTACCGGGGATCAAACTCAGGTCTTTGCGCCTGCACAGCAGGCGGCAAAACCACTGAGCTAAATCCCCGGCCCTACAATGAATTTTTAAATATTTATTCCTACGTATTTGGATTTGGTGCTGATATAAATGGAATTTTCTTAATTTTATTTTCAAATTGTTCACTTGTAGCATACAGAAATATAATCGAGTTTTGATTACTGATCTTGTACCTGGTAAGCTTACTGAACTCTTTACTTGGTCTAACTGTTTTTGTAGATTCCTTAGGATTTTCTATATATGATATTGTAATCTGCAAGATGATAGATCTACTTCTTCCTTTCCAATCTGAATATCCTTCCTTCCTCTGTGTAACTGCTATTTCTAGAACCTTTCTGAATGAAGTAGCAAGAACAGATATTTTTCATTTCTACCTAATATTAAGAAGAAAGCTTTCAACCTTCAACCATTAAATATGAGGTAGCTGGGCATGGTAGCACGTACCTGTGATCCCAGCACTCAGGAGGATTAGGCAGGAGGATTACTGCATGTTCGAGGCCAGCGTGTGTTATATAGTGAGTTCAAGGCCAGCCTGACTGTCTAAAAGGACCCCCCCTCCACACAAAAAAAGAAACCCATGTCCCTCAGGATTGGGAAGATGTAAACTAAGTAAATAAACAAATAAGTAGTAGTCTGTGGGTTTTTCCCAAAATGCTTTTTATTAATTCCTTTATTCTTTTATGAGGAAGTCCCATTCTCTTCCTAATTTGTTAAGTGTTTAAAGAGTATATTGTCAAATGTCTTTTCTGTGAATATTAATATGATCATGTGGGTTTTCATCTTTTTTTCTATTAAAATAGTGTATTGGGCCAGGGATTTAGCTCAGTGGTTTCACCACCTGCTGCACAAGTGCAAGGACCTGAGTTCGATCCCTGGTACCAGTAAATAAATAAATAAATAAATAAATAAATAAAAATAAAATAGTGTATTATAGTGATTGAATTTGTGAGTGAAACACTATATTCTTAGGCTAAATTCCACTTGGTTATAATGTATAATCCTTTTTATATGGTGCTGGGTTTGATTGGCTAGTATAATGTTGAAGACTTTTTTCAACTACATTGCTCATAGATATTGGTCTGTTTTGTGCTCTTTGGATATCACAGTATTAATAATGGACTCATGGGCTGGGGATTTAGCTCAGTGGTTCCACTGCCTGCCTTGCAAGCACAAGGTCCCGAGTTCAATCTCCGGTACCAAATAAATAAATAAATAAATAAATAAAGGACTCATACATTGAGTTGGGAAATATTTTCTTCTATTTTTTGGAAGTTTGTGAAAGACTGGTAATAACTCCTCTTTAAATGGCAGAATGAAGCCATCTGGTCCTGGGCCTTTCCGTGTGGAAAGTTTTTAAAAGTTATTAATTCACTCTCTTTACTTATATATTTTTATTGGTCTAGAAAATAACAATATATGGTTATTGATTTCTAATTTTACTCTATTGTGGTCAAAGAACATGGGCAATCTTACTTCATCTTTTTATACTTACTGAGGCTTGTTTTATGACCTACCACATAATCTATATCAGAAATGTTCCATGTACATTTGAGAAGAATATGCATTCTGTTGCTGTCCAATAGAATATTCTATAGATATTTGTTTGTTCTGGTTGGTTTAGTGTGTTTGTTTTTTTTGTTTTTCCCATACAAGGGATCGAACTCTGGACCTTGTACCTGCAAGGTAGGTGGGGGGCCACTGAGCTAAATCCCCAGGCCTGGTTTAAAGTGTTTTGTTTCCTTATTTCCTTATCTGCCTTGTTCTACCCATTATTGAAGTTGGAGTACTGATAGTTCCAACTATTGTTGAGTTGTCCACTTCTCCCTTCATGTCAGTTTTTGCTTTACATATCTTGCACTCTTTTGCTAGATGCATGTTTATCCTGACAGATTCTCTTACTTTTTGTTATAAAATGTCTTTGTAGTGGCAATTTTTTTTCTTAAAGCCTGTTTTGTTGAATATTAGTGCAATCACTCCAGCTCCCTTTGAGTTACTATTTGCATGATATATATTTTCACATCCTTTTACTATCAACTTATTTGTGTTTCGTTTTGTTTTTTGTGGTACTGGGGCTGAACCCAGGGCCTTTGCTCTGAGTTACATCCCTAGCTCTTTTTATTTTTAGATAGGGTCTCACTAAATTGCCCAGGCAAAATCAATCTTATGATCCTCCTGTCTCAGCCTCCCAAGGGCTAGGATTATAGGTATGTGCAACCACTCCTGGCTCTTCTCTGTGTTTTTAAAAATCTAAAACAGGCCTCTTTTAGATAGAATATAGTTGGATAGTGTTTTATTTTAATTTTTGAATATGGGTCTATGTAGTCTAGGCTGGCCTTGAACTTGTGATTCTCTTGCCACACCCGAGTGCTGGGATTACAGGTGTGTGCCACCATGGCTCACTATCTTCTATGTTCTTAGGAATATATCTAAAATTTTTTAAACCGCCTATGGATATCTCTTTCTCTTGAAGTTTTTTGGTGTCTCGTCTGTTCCAATGATTACAGGTAGCTCAGAAAGTTGAGATGTAGGATGATTGCTGCTATCATTTTTGACAAGTGCACCCAGGAAAAACAGTTGCTTACTCTGGGAAAACTCTGAGTCCCACCAAAGAAAAACAAACCCTAAGATTGGGGATTTAACAGAAGTATCAAAAAGGTGAGATAATGACAGGTCTGTGTTAACTGGGCTTTGGAGGCACTCCAATCCTATTTTGTAACCTATAATGGTTGCTAGGCAGCTGGACTTCACCATAGTTTTGAGGCTGTTGGTTTCCAAGGCTACCATGGAGCTGGGGAGAGAGGATGGGAACAGTGCAAGTTAAAATGTCAGAAACTGCTTTTCTTACCGAGATGCAAACATTTTTCTTGAATAAGTGTTTTTTAGATTGCTGCAAGCCTTTGGTTAATGTACAACTTCTCTGGTGCTCTGTTCCTTTTATGGCAGATGGGATATTCCCACTGAGGACACTCACATGATGTCCTCTTATGTGAATTTTAAAAAAGGAAACTTGTGCCACAAAGTATCCCATCATTTCCCTTACTTTTAGGGATACTTGAGGGAAAACATCTTTAAATATTACTGGATTTCTGGGACCAGGAGAACTTCAGGTTCTTTAAGAAAGGGCTGCTGCTGTCAGCAAATGGATAACTTCTGAGAGATCCTCCAGTGTCTTTGAAACTGCTCCTAAGGAGCTGCCTGAGTGGGCTGAACTATGCTCAACCCTGTGCTTTGCCCACACACTCTCTGCTGAGTCCAGTGGAGTGTATCCCATCACGTCTGACATGTATTTGGAGTGGGGTGCCTAAACCAGGGGTTTGACATGGAAGAACCCTCCTCTGTGCCAGAAGGGTACTTAGGGGTGGAAGCAGGCCCTACAGGCAGGCAACACAAGAAGAGTTCAAAGCATGCAGCCTTGGGCTGGGGATTTAGCTCAGTGGTTTCGAAGCCTGCCTAGCAAGCTCAAGGACCTGAGTTTGATCCCGGTACCAAAAAAAAAAAAAAGCATGCAGCCTCACAGCACAGGAAGTTACACATGAATGACATTTTCCATAAATGAAGCCCTTCTACCTACTGAGACTAAGTGCCTGAGGTGTGAGATTTATAGGTATTTGGCCCCAGTGCTTAGCAAGGCCGTCCCAGTTGTCTGGGTAATTATGGAAGCTGCCTAATAGTTTGAAGCACATGAAACTCCTTCACAACCAAGGTCTCACATCATCATCTGCACCATGATTCAGAGAATACCCAAGAGGTGGGAAACAATGGACCAGAGTTTGGCAACTGAAATTGTTTCAATGTTTCACCTTAGAGTAGTTCATTCCTTCTGAGGGATAAGCTTATCTAAGGAACAACTTCCTGGGGTCAGAAAACTATGGCCACACTGGCTTATTTTTTGTACAGCCTATGAGTTTAGAATATTTTTATACTTTTTTTTTTTTGGTACCAGGGATCGAACTCCTTGTGCTTGCGAGGCAGGCGTCAGAACCACTGAGCTAAATCCCTGGCTATTTTTATACTTTTTAAGAGTTATGGAAAAAACAAAGACCCTAAATAGCTAATAAAACCCTAGATATTTACTATATGGCTTCTTCCAGGCAAAGTCTGCCTACCTCTAGGTAATGGTACCAAGGATTTAACCAATAGGACAGTCAACATATACAATAAGATAATAGAACCAAAGGGGGCAAAAACACTTGAAATAACATTACTTTAATGCTCCAAGCATTTTAAACATTCACAAAATTGCCTTATTTCAGAAACAATTTCTTCATAGGTACAGAGTCTATGTCCAGGATCAGAGTCATGTACATCGCTGAATTTCCTCTACAGCACCCACATGCTACATGCGATCTGCTATGGCATCTTGTGTTCCTTAGTAGCAAACCCTCTGCCACCCCCGAAACACGACTGGCTCCACCCCTGTCGACACAACTGCAACTGTTCATGAAAACACTTTGTAGCTTTACTGACCCTGTGGGTTCTGTGGATCCCAGCACATTTCCAGTACTCCCAATTCCAGTACTCCCAGATGTTCCATGTGCCTGGGCATGACCCTGGGGAGCTTGCAAAACATCATGTCAGCTGGGACATAAACTGGCACCTGCTCTGCCCCATCATACAAACACTGAGGCACTTAAATGTTCTTGGAAAAATGCAGTTTATAATTAACGAAGGAGTTACGTGTGAGGGAAAGGGCTTTTCTCTCATAACTAATTACAACTTTAACACATATTTAGATTTATAAATCCATGTCTGTTTACATTTGCTGTCAAGACTTCATAAACTATATGTTAAGCATATCTGAGTTTCCAAACACTGTGATGAGAAGCAAACAAGAGAACCTGCTTAGACAATACTGGCTTGTACCATGAATACAGATGTCAACATCTGGGTGTTCTTAAAGAAATGCCTGTTTCCAAAAAGAATTCTTTTAAAACCCTTAAGCCTTATAGGATTCTTCCAAGGTAATAATGCATTTCTTTCTTCCTCTCGAGGCAGTAATTCAAGGCATCTCAAGACACTGCTGCTGCCTGAGTTTGTGGTTTAATTGGCCAGGGCTGGGAGGAGAGTGAAGATGTAGGCACCAACATTTTAAAAAAAAGTTTTATAGATGTTTGTAGCATGTAGTCAGCATGGCACTAAAGGCTCTTGAGTTTTCCTACTCTCATCTATCCTCACAAAAAGCCCTTGAGGTAGTCCCTAGTCAGGCAACAATCTTCCATGAGATAAGAAACTAAGGCACAGAGAGGTCAGGGGGCTCCTCTGATACTGTGCAGTCAAATAACAGAGCCAAGACTAGAATCAACATCTCCAAATAAGTAACACCTCTTCTCCCAGCAACCAGCAGTGCTCACTCGGACCAACCCTATGACACTGGGGAGTCAGGCAAGACCAACTGTGTCCAGGGCACCATGGAAGGGTATGGGACAGTTCTGAGCCAACCTTCCCACACAATTGGAAATTAATGCATTATAGATATGCTTTATACATGTACATGCTGGGAACCATGTGAGGAACGAACTGTAACTTTTCTTAAAGCCATGCCTCACTCACATATATGCAATGGATTCAGGTTTCTTACAAAATCTATCAGGATTCATAGACTTTCTAACACCTGAATTCTGAGCTCTATCACTGTATGAGCTGGAAAACTCTGAAATGTTCCCATAATTTGGGTCCAAAAGCACACAGAAACCTCCAGTTTTTCTCCATCACCAGCCCACCTAGACCTTCCAAGAACCCCGACCCCTTACTTCCTAAATGGATGTGCATCTTGCTGTGAAGGGATCACATCTCACTCCATTCTTAAGAGTTCCCACACACTCACCTGTCAGCTGTGCTGGACCTCCAGGATTGACTTACCACTGGATCTTATTTTACCCTTGGTGCAAACTTTATTCTCCATATTTCAGGTAACCAGTGGGACTTTTTATATCCCCAATTCCCATGAGCACCAACTCCTTTGGGACCTTTATCACTTCACTATAACACCTTTATATCCAATCACCCATCACTGTCTCTAGCACATAATTTCTATAATTATTCCTTTTTCACCAGAAGCTTCCACATCTCATCATATCTGAGGAGGTAATGCTTCTCTTCTTTTGTAAGTCTCACCTGACTGCAGGATCTGCCAAGCAGAAATGAATACTGGAGCACACATATGCAGCAAGAAGGAGTACACCATGTCCTGGGGAGGAGTACAGTTTCCTGTGTCTGCTGCTATAATTTCCAGGACACTCTAAGAAAAGCCTAATTACTTAGTTCACTCTGAAGACAAAAAACATCTTCCCACTGCTAGTGATGTGGCCTCCTGAGAAGCCTACAAAATATTAGTTGATCCAGTACTTAGAAACCACATCTTTGTTGTACACCTTTTTGTGACTTACAAGAAGCTGTGTGGAGCTCTGAAATCACTTCTTTCCCATCTAAGCAGGACATACACTTATTCAAAGAGCCTCTCTCCTGAGGCCTACAGGCACAAGCAGACTCAGAATCCTTCCTAGAATGGAACCTGCCCCTCCAGCTCTTAGAGAAGGTGCTTGAAGCACAGGGAGATCAAAAGGAGAAGCCACCTGTGTCATGGCCATCTGGGAAGATACGGGGCGTGGAATTCTACCTTTCTAACGCTCAGGATTTTATAAATTTAAAAAAATTGAAGGAAAGGGAACTTTGCAGATCTGCAGTTAGCATTCTGATTAAAACAAAAATAACTGATAATCATCATATTTCAAAGCCCCGCCATGACCACACACATCCAACCTATTAAGTAAAGCAAGATACTGTAGATGCTGTATGATTTTTCCTCTGTCATGCTTATTTGAGGCTTACAAGTTTGGCAGACTTGTTGCTTTGTTTCTAAAACATGCAGAGAATAGACCGAGAGAGAGCAGTGGGTACTGTTTGGGCCCAATCCAGAGGACTCCCACATCACCAGAAAGGTGACAGAGAGCAGCCTTCATTGAGAAGCTGACACACGGAACAAAACTAAGACTGTTGGTGCATGCTTGTCCAGAGTTTAGGGGGACAGAGTGTCATGGAGGGGATGAGCAGGGGACACACAGGCAACCTCCAAAGTGCTCTAACATCCAGTCCATGTCCCAGAAAGCAGCTGGGCACAGAGCTAAGGCACTAAGGCTCCAGTAGGTGGCTGGAAAGAGCAGCGGTACCGGTGGTCTGCCACACTTGGGGAGGACAGGCTCTGCTTCCAATGCCATCTAAGCAGAAAGAGACTTCCCAAGGGTGAGAACACACAGGAAACCAAATCCCTGCTTTCACCCCACGGATGAACATTCTGCTCCCTGCTCAGAGACATGTGCCTCAGTTTCCTCAATTGCAACTGCACTGCTGAGAGCTCCACAGGGCAGCTCCCTCAGCAGCCAGCTCTGGGAGTTGCTTCCTCTTCTCCTGCTCTCTTCTGTCCCATCGTTCAAGTTGCCTCTCTTTCCCATCTCAGCTTGATAAGGAGCAGTCTGGTCATTTCGCCTTGCCATGGACCAGGACCCGGTACATTTCCCAAGGCAGCTCTGAGTGCCCCGTCGGTCACAGCTTGATGAACGCAGCTGACTGTGGCTGCTGCTCCACATCTGGGGGTGGGAAGACACTGGATATGGCTAAGTCCACGATGCCCTGGCACAGTTCTGCATAGAGCTTCCTGAAATGTGTTTTTAAAAATGTCAGTGAGGGAGGTCATCAACGTGCAAGAAAAAATCAAGTTTTATTTTAAACCAAGATCTGCCTCATGAATTCCATCTCATGATCACCTTTATACACTTGGTTTCCATGGCTTATAGAAGTACTGCAGGAGGCACTGCATGCAGATAAAGCATTTTCTCACAAATATTTATAAAAGGCCATACTAGACAACTCCTGCTGCAGCTGGCAGGGATGTCAGGCAATTTCAACAGCATATAAGAGCCACTTGCCTGTATGTGAGTGTGTGTGGAGGGGCAGGCACAAGCCAGGTAAAGAACCAATTTGCTATGGTCAAGGGAACACTGGGGAAGATTCCACAGGATCGACAGCCAAGCTGGGTCCAGAAGATAAAGAGAAGTTAGACAGGAAAAGGATAGCAGCATAGAAAAGAGGAAGGGGGGGGGACCCTGACTCTGTGTGTGTGTGTGTGTGTGTGTGTGTGTGTGTGTACGCACACATGCTTCGTGAATGATGGGGGAAGGGAGAAGAGGGCAGCGTGAATGGAGGAGTGGCACGAACCAAGGAGTAAGAACTCTGGGTACCTGAAGAAGTGACAGTTGCCAGCAGAATGGTGTAATGTAGACCACATTAGGCCCCAAAGCAGAGGGCCCAGATATCTGGACTTCCTCCACAGGCAATGGGCCCACCACAGTGGACAAGCCAAAGAAGAAAACCTCCCTCTGGTCACTTCAGAGAGCTCTGAGGCCTCTATCTCCTACTTACCCCCATAGGAGTCCCTGGGGCAGCAGCCTAGGCCCTGGAGCCAGGCTCCTCAGGACTGACTCTAACCCAGGGAAAAGCCAGATGAGCCTCTGGGCCAGATGTGCCCACCATACAACTTGCTCAGGACATGTTTAGAATCCCAGTGGCTCAAACCAAGGGCAGGAGCCAAGCGAGGCAGTCTAGGGCAGAGACTAAGCTAATTTTCATAAGATGCTGTATTCCAATCTCCACCAGTTAGAAAATCCTCACAGGCTTATTCCCATCAAATTGCTGCAATGCAAGCCCTTCCCTTTGGCCTCCCATCATAGAACCTCTTACTCACTTCTGGCCCCTGGGCTAATGTTTCTCTGTCTCAACCTGCTGTAGAGCCCTCAGCAAAGGAAAAGTGCATGAAAAGTCCATGCTTCTATTTTTCTTTTTGGGAAGTCCTAAGTACCAGCTAACCTTCATCTCTCCTGCTATAGTCTGTTCTTTCCTCTCTCTCTTTTCCCCACCTCCTAGCCCCCCACCTCTGTCTATACAAATCAAGTCCCATTTCAACAATTTAGCATGCCCCAACTACTCAATCTCTCACTTCTGAAGACATAGGGCCCTGGAGGTGCACAGGGAAAGAGGATAATTATTAAACTTGGGACTCAGTAAGTCACCAAGAGCCAGAAGCTGTCAAAATATGCCATGTTCAGTATTTCATGATGTTTGTCATAAACCACCTCTGGACGTAGCTTCCACAGGGAATGCTGGGAGGAGGAAAGGATATAAAGCAGCTTCAACATGGTCAAGCTAACTCATGTCTTAGGCATTTCTGATGAAGGAGGACACCTGACACCCCTTCCCATTTCCATAAAACAAAATGGATGTCAGTATTTGAGTGTACAAAAACATGGAAATTGCAGGTCATGAATAGACTTCTCTAACTATGCCATTATCTCACCATCCCTACCAACTCCCTTTCTTTCTTCTCCTTTAGGAAACAAGTAAAAAGGCATTTGAAAGTTACCTCCTTCAGCATGAGAATGAGACAGCACAACCCTACCTGCCTTGAATCTCTGAGGGTAGCTTGTAGCCTCCAGGCCCTCCTCAGTATAAGCCCCCAACTCCCACCTCAGGGACCTCTCCACACAAAATCATGAACCTAACAGACAGATGTTTCTTCCTCTGTTGCAGAAGTTGAAGTACACTATGATTCATAATATAATGAATTGGGAAATGTCTGTCTCTTTCCTTAAGTGGGCTTCCATGGGGACACTAGTGCCTATGCAGACTCTGAGCAAAGGGAATCTAGCTGACATTGAGGGGCTGTGTGGAACCAGGGAGACGGAGTCTAAAGAAGACTCAGCACAGGTGTGCCATTGTGCATTTCTATCACTAGAGGCCTGGGTTGGGCTCTGGAATAATCAGCTCTACCTGACTGGCTCCTAGAGAGTTCTTCAGTGAGAGAGGTGAGTTTCTGCAGGAATGCATGGCACGCTTGTGGGGAAAGGACATTGAAGCTGTGAATCTAATAGTTATTCCTCCATCCTCCTCTTTGCCTGGTGGGCTTTCATTGCAGGTATGGGATGAAAGATGCAGGCCCACCCTTGGGCCAAAGCCTGTAGGGCCCCAACACAAACAGCACTAAGGCAGGAAAACTGGGCCCCTGAATACAGGCTCTGTTCAAGAGGGCATAGCTTGCCCAGAGCCAAGCACAGGGATAGGTGCCCAGATGCTGCACCTCTCTCTGAACACCCTCCTCATTCCCTTTGGGACCTGACCCTCTTCCCTCTCCTCATAGTGCTAGCCCCACTGTGTCTACAATGCCACCTCAGGCCACCTCCTGACCCTAACGTCACTGTCTCTGCCACTCTCAGGATCCTCCTCACTGAGCTGGACATGAGAGGGTCTCTCTGGCAGTTACTAGTTTTGTTTGAGACTCCCATGGCATCTGCCATCCACCTGAACACTGACCACCACATGGGGACATGGGAAAGGAGATGACCCCACTGAGCTCCCATGCCCGCCAGGGTTCTTGCAAAGGACTCCTATCACCATGACAGCCTTCCCAACAGCACTCAAAAGATCTACCCTTCAGTCAGACTCTGCCAAGTGCACAACCAATTCCCACTTGTTAGACACAATGGCATTTGGACTTACTGAGCACAAGCTGGGGCGCCATTGACCTCAATGAGCCAGACCTTCAGCTCCTTGTCCACCATGAAGTCGAAGCCAAAGAGCTGGAAGCTCTGGTAAGGGAGGTACCTGGTGCTGATGGCCGGCTCCACACTCATGAGGCAGCTCCTGTGGGGCACAGGAGGACAATTCACTGAGGATGGGGTGGTAGAGGTGGAGGAAGCACAAGAGGTATGCCTGGAAGATTTGATGTCAAGTGTATATAAAAATGGTTGCAATTTAATTCTTTTTTTAAAAAATTATCACCAAGAGAAAGCTACTTATCAAGCAGTTTGTTAGGAACGCATGCAACCACTCACATTCTTCCAGACAAAGGCTGCTGTCCCTGTCCCAGGCCCTAGGGAGCACAGCATGGAGTCACTGCAGAGTGACACAAATGCAGAGTCCTCCAATGGAGGAAGCAGGGGCTGCTGCCACATTTCTTTATAACAAAGAATGCTGGTCCTATTAGTTTCTTTCACTAGCTCTAGTTCTACTTCCAAGCTGTTGCTAATTAAAAGATTTAAGAAGTATACATATTAAAATCAACTATTGAAATATAGTTACTTACTAGCAACTACTGGTGAAAAAATTGGAAGATTTTAGTAACAGACAAAAGGTTGAAAGTAAATGTCAGAAACCCAATGAATAAGTACATGAGGTCTGAAGTCAGGCCAGAACCGTGGACAAGTTTTTTAACCTTCCTAAATGAAACTTTGATTTCCTTTCCTAAAGAGTTAGGGGTACAAATGGTGGCTACGCGTAGTGTTGACAATGTTCACTGAGATAATTATGTAAGGTACTTGGCATAACTCCTGGCATCAAGGAGTGTTTCACAAATGTTCCTCTTATGACAAAAGCACATTTCATAAATTCACTATTAATGATACTAATCACAAATCTATTATTTATGAATAACGAATAACTGTTATCTAGTACAAATACCCCAGAACCACAAGCCATTTCTGTTTCATGAAGACTTTCCCTGCTTTTTCATGATGAGCAGAATGTTTCTTACTAAAGGTGTTCTGATGACTCAGATTACCAGAGATAACTGTCCATCTATACAGCTGTATATTTAAAAGGAAAAAGAAACAGGAAACTGCCTACACATAACCAACTCAAAGATGTATCCTTACAGGTAGGTTTGGCTCTTGATTTCCCTCCAAAAGAAAACATTTGTAAAGATATGTTTAAATCTTTAAAAGTAATCTTGGACAGAGTCCAAATTTCTTATCCCATTCTTCTATAAACCACAATGGCAAGGCACACATTTGTTTTTTCTCAGTGCTGGGGATTGAACCAAGGAGGACTGATTAACCTACAGACCTACATCCCCGGCCCTTTTTGTTTTGTTTTGAGCCAGGGTCTCACTAAATTGCCTAAGCTGGCCTCAAACTTGTGATCCTCTTGCCTCAGCCTGCCAAGTAGCACTACCCCACCCACCACACATTCTAATAGTGCCTATAATCCTAGCTATTCAGAAGGCTTAGGCAAGTGGATCATTTGACCTCAGGAGTTCAAGGCCAGCTTGAACAATTTAGTGATTTAGTGAGACCCTGTCTCAAAATGAAAAATACAAACAGCTGGGGATGTAGCTCAGTGCATAGCCTCTGGGTTCAATCTTCAGTACTGCCCCCGCTCCAAACCCACAAAAACTCTACATATGAGAGAATACCCTTAAGTATGTTTTAATTAAAATGTCCTTTAAGCCAGGAATGGTGGCATATGCTTGGAATTTCAGCACTCTTAGCACTCGGGAGGCTGAGGCAGGAGGATTGCAAGTTCAAGGCCAGCTTGGGCTACATAGCAAGTTGGAGGCTGTCCTGGACTACACAGTGAGACCCTGTTTCAAAAATTAAAAAAGAGGTAGGTGTGGTGGTGCACACCTGTGATCCCAGCATTCCAAAAGCTGAGGCAGGAGGATCTCTGTGAGTTCAAGGCCAGCCTGGGCTAAATAGTGAGTTCAAGGCAAGTCTGAATTAAAAGGGAAACTCCGTCTCAAAAAAACAAAAAGAAAGAAAGAGAAGGGAGGAGGAGAGCAGGAAAACCTTTAATATATAATTAAGATGCAATTAAGAAAAGTTTAAGAGAGAGAGAGACCAAGAAAAGAAAGGGATAAAAAGTGAAAGCAGCATCATGCTCTGACACATAAACGAAAAACCATGACTAGAACAACACTGAATATCATTTTCTATCTACTGAAAATGCAAGATAAATAATTCAGTGTAGAGGACTTTCTTCCTCTTCAGAGACTTCAACAGAACATCTTTGTTGGCTGTGGGGAGTCAGGGGGAGGCTGGCAGGATAAGAGGGAAGACCGAGTGCTGTGAGGGTCATTTACAGCTCCAGAGGAGCAACCTCTCCTGCGCTGGCCAGACAGGGGGCAGGGGTGAGGCGCGCTTCCTACAGACCAGTCACCTAACCACTTCACTGGGTATCATCTGGGCCATCAACAATCACCAAGAAAAGGACTCCAAGTCCTGAGTGGTGCTACTGGACTCCACGTAAGAACACATTAGAGAAGAAGTCTTGATCACTGTGACACAGTGCCAACAACACAGGGAATACACAGACTAGCGGAAAACATAGAGTCCCAGGGACAGCACCTCTCATGGTCGGATTAATAACAAGGGTCCCCACAGTGCTGTGGGCAGGGACAGTCTCCCGCACAAATGGTCTTGGGCCAATGACATATCCTTGTGGAGCAACATGATATTTGACATATAATAATGCCATACAGATTATAGGTCTAAACTATGGGAAATAAAACCCAGATGTTCATCAGGTGTGAGATAAGCTTTGGAATGTTCACATGATGGAGTATTACACAGCCATATAAAGGACAAATAAATGACTGCTCTGTGCAGCATGATGAATGAATGCTACACATAATGTCAAAAAAAAGCTGACCAGAAAACAGGAACTGTGGTATAATTCCATTTGCTTAATGATGAAAAGTAAAGAGGAATCTATACTGATAAAAGTCAAAGAGTAGCTGTCTTTGACAGAAAGAAACATATTTTGAGAGGGCTCAAATGAGTCTTCAGGGTACTGTGACTTTTTTTTCAGTGGTGGTACAGGGCCTTTACATTGAACTACATCCACAGCCCTTTTTATTTTTATTTTGAGGCAAGTTTTCACTAATTTGCTAAGCTGGCCAGGCTGGCCTTGAATTTGGGATTCTCTTGCCTCAGTCTCTCTAGAGTACTGGGATTACTGGCATGTATCTCCACACACCTGACTGTCAATATTTTATATCTTGAGTTGCATCATAGTCAAGTAAGTGCATGTATAATGAAAACTCACTAAACTGTACACTATGCATTTTATACTTATTTTAAACTTCTCAGTAGGGGTGGTGCCACATGCCCATAATCCCAGCATTCTGGGAGGCTGAAAATCAATAAAACCAAAAGCTGATTGTTAAAAAATATTTTAATAGATCGGGGATTTAGCTCAGTGGTTTCGCCGCCTGCTGCACAAGTGCAAGGACCTGAGTTCGATCCCCGGTACAAAAAAAAAAAATTTTTTTTAATAACCCATAGCCAATCTACCCAAGAAAAACAGAAAGAAAATACAAATTTTGACACCAGAAAAGAAAGAAGTGACCTCATTACAAATCCAACAGATACTAAAATGAAAATAAAGGAATATCACAAATAATTTTTGCCCACAAATTAGACAATTTAAGTGGAACAATTCCTTGAAAGGCATAAACAAAGCTCCTTCAAGAAGAAACACATGAAACAGAAAAGGGACAATTAAGTTACCTTATTATATGCTTGATTTGTTGTAAGATACTAGCTTCCAAGGTAATGTTCAAAGCACTCATTAGGTACTGATTGAACTCCTCGAAGAACATTTCATTCCCTTCCTCATACTTTCCATAGTTCTTTGAGTACTCCTTTTGAATGCAGTGATTGGTCAAATGGCAGGTCTTGTCTTGGAAATCATCCACATGATATGGTTCTGAAGCAGTTCGGAGAACACCCTCTCTATAGAGGTAGATATTATACTGATGGTCCACCAAGACCCAGCTTCTGCAATTCAATGAAAACACCGTTCTGCTTAGGTTTCTGTAATCTCTCTCTCAAATTTTTTTTTTTTTTTTTTTCAATTTTAACTAGGATGAGCACATAAATTATCACAGTAGGCAGTCTTCTTTTTTTTTTTTTTTTTGGTACCGGGGATCGAACTTGGGTCCTTGTGCTTGCACAGCAGGCAGCGAAACCACTGAGCTAAATCTCCGGCCATCTCTCAAATATTTTGAGGAATGGGGAGGCAAGGGAAACAAAGGAAGAAGGTTCTAAAATTATATCCAGCAAACTCTGAGTTAACCAAAATAGGGGATTATCACTATAAAGAAGCAAACAAAACATTTCACCATAAATGACAAGGAGACTTAAATCAATTAAAAAAAACCCCCAGCATTTTGAAGAGATTGGATGGGTTTTGGGGTTAACCTATAAAACCTCCATTGGCTATGTTTGTGCTTTCATATCTTAAGAGGAAGAATGTTCGTCTTAAAGCCATCTGACACAGGACCGATGTTGAAGAAGCAGTAATTCATTATGAGTGATATCAAGTTATTCTGAATGAGATCAAGGAGACAACAATTCTCAATGAGCAAATGGAAGCAAGGGCAAAGGCAAGCAGGGAAGAGGGCTGGCTAGCTGTAGAAAGCACCACACAACCTCTTTCTCCATGGCAGCCCTTTGGCTCAGAAACTTAACATGCAGAAACTTTAGGTATATTCATGAAATTCATAAAAAGTAGAACACAAAAAACAAAGTGAGCACAGATCATTTGGCTGGGTCACACAACATGTTACATCTGAACTATATGCTCTATGTACAACTCTCAGCTTCTTCCATCAGCAAGCCCCATTCATGTACATTCTCCCTGTGGAGCCACAAGTTATTTTCATAAGTCATTTAATTGCATTTTATCTTCATATATGTGTGTGTGTATATGTATATATACACACGCGCATATATATACATACTCATATGCATACATACATACATATGCATAAAAAGGATAGATAATATTAGTAAAATTTTCCAGAAAGCAGAAAGAATAAAATAAAAACAGGAAGTTGGGGACAAAAGTGCAGTTCCACTCAGCTCCACTCAATTTTGGTAAGTTATGAAACTGGCAAATACTTTTTCACATTTATATCCCACTTATTACCGCCTCCTATTACATACTTTTCAGATGAACAAAGACAAAAGCCACAGACAGGGAAGTTACCGAATGTCAAACTTGCGGTGCCCTGGCTCCAGAAGCAGAGGGTGCTCAAGGTATTTCTGGATCACATGCACCTGGCCCTGGTTGTCTATGAAATCCAGAAGCTCTGACGCCTCTGAGGAGATGAGGATGCCTTCGCCTAACAGAACAAAAACAAAACAGAAGTAGTCCAGTTCATTCCACAGGAAAAGCTGTCTACAAAGCCAGAAAGGGAACACAGAAGGCCCACAAAACAAAACAAAACACCCACAGGAGGCTCTCAGTTACCCGCTCACTCTTCTTTCTCCTTCTCTGCCCCTGTGCAATGACTCACACTCTCCCCTCTCCCTACAGCTGCACCCAGGGTATCCAACTGACTCTTTCTCTGCAATAGGAACACTAGCTTAGTGAGCTGCAACCATGAAATGTTAGTTGTACTGGCATTCAAAGAGACTAAGCACTTTAACTAAATGTCATCCTATCGGTCACTGGCTAAATAAATAATAAACAATAAAGACTATATTGCCCATGACCAATGAATCCATTTCTAACACTGTACCTTACAGAAATATCAGGAATGTTAGGGAATAAAAACAAATAGGTTCTTTGCAGCATCTTAACAGAAAAAAATTACATATGTTCAAAGTTTCCACTAACTTTAAATAACTGGAACCAAGATCCACTTGACTGAGATGTAACACATCATAAAGTTCACCCTTTTAAAGTGTATAATTCAATGGTTTGATGTATATTCCTGAGTTTTCCAACCAATGGTACAATCTAATTTTAGAACATTCTCATCATCCCCTCCAGAAAGCTCTGTACCCTTTACTAGTCACACCTCACACCCTGTTCGCTCCAGTCTCTGCCAACTACTAATCTACTTTCTGTCTCTAAGCATTGCCTCTTCTGGACATTTCATATAATCACATCATATAGTACATGGCCATTGTGTATGGCTAATTTCACTAGCATAAAGTTTTCAAAGTTCATTCATGTTGTTGCATGTACTGATACTTTACTCCTTTTTATGGTTGAATAGTATTCCATTGTATGGCTATACCACAGTTTTATTAATTCATTATTTGGACATCTGAGTTGTTTGTACTGTTGTCTGATTCTTCGGAATAATGCTATACAGATTCACATACAAGTCTTTGTGGGGACATATGTTTTTAATTCAATGCTGTTGTGATCTTGATTGGAATTACGTTAAACTACAGACCAGTATGAGGTAGGTTGACATCTCTCCTCTTTTGAGTTCTGCAATACATGAACATGGTATATTCATCCATTTTTCAAAGGTGCTCTTTGACCTCTTTCATGATCATTTTGTAAGTTTCAGCATTCAGAGCTTGTACATATTTTGTTAAGTTTATACCTAAGCATCTCATTTTCTCTGAGGTGACTGTAAATGCTACTGTTTTAACCACTTTCCAGTTTACCCCAAGCATCACTCAGGCAGTGTGTTTGTTTATGTACTATGTCAAGCACTGCTTGGGCAGGTGTTATTTTAGCCAGTCAATTCTTGAAGTGAATAAATTTGATAAAATTGTCATTTTTATTTTTTCCGTTATATTATCTTATAAAAATTAATGAAAAATATGCAATTTTTGGTCATCCTGTACTTAAATAATTGGACTGCTAAGTGGTTAATTTTGGTTTCCACATGTCATTGTTTTGGGGTTTTTTTGGTACCAGAAATTGATCTCAGGACTTGAGTTGTACTTGAGAGGCAGGCGTGGTGCCACTGAGCTAAATCTCAGGCTAAATATGTCATTGTTAATATACAGAAATGCAGTTTTTGTGTGTTATCTCATAACCTGTAATACTGTGGAGCTCACATTTCAGTTGTGAGCCACTTTCACTTATGCTTTGGACTTATAGCTTATCTCAAACCTAGGTCTCACACTTTCAGCGCAAGTGAATTCAATTTAGTTTGTTAATTTAAGGATCTATTTTTCCTTAAAATCAACCTCTTTCTCATCCACCCTTGTTTGTGCCATTTGTTCCACCACTTGGTTAGGCTCTTGAACAAGAAACCGCACTGGAAAAGCTCCCTTCTTTTTTCCTACATACAACTCATTTTGTTTCCTATTCCCTAGGAACCACACTCAGATATTCTGGTTACTCTTTATTTCCAGTTGCCAATTCTTAAATTCAGACTTTAAATCTCTCCTCCTCTGCACCACCTTGCACCAACTTTTAGAATGATCATCCTAAAGCTCTACTTTCCTCTAATGTCCTAAAACTACCTCCATCACCTACTGAGGCCTTGCTCTACCTCACCTAACTTCCTTCCCTCCCCTATGTGCCAACCTTATTTTCCTTATGTAAATTATTTCTTATTGAAAAACAATATACCTAATGCTAGTAGGCTGCAAAAATAATGGGGGAAAGTAAAGAGACAGATATATTTCTATAGCTCTAAAAAACTATTATCATTTAAACATGTAACATTAAAGGGAAATGGAAAAGTTAAGCATAGTCTTATTTCCTGACATAACTGTTTTAATTTTTGCATATTAGCAAACCCTGTTTCAATCACAGGAAATTCATTGCATATTCTTTTTTTCACTTTTATATAGTTATTTTTCTGTTTTTTATATTAACTTCACAATTATGTTAATGGCTGAAAACATCCTATTGTGTGGAAGTCAAAAAAGTTATACATTACTACTTGCTGGACAATGGGGTTGTTTCTAAATAATTTATGCTACTACAGAAAATGTAGTAACTGTCTTTGTTGTAAATCACTCATTTCTTTTAAATATTTACTTGTAGTAAATTCCCAGGAGTGAGACTACTGAGCCAAATGATACTAGTTCTCTATGACTCTCGTGTGTCACTGTATTGCTTTTTCAAAAGGTTGTGAATGTCACTAGGAGTGCAGTTCCCAACAAACAGCAACATCACTAGTGCTTTTTGTTTTCTTATTTTGTAGCTGTACAATGAGAGATAAAATCAAATTTATTTAGTAAGTTTTGGTCTCTGTGTAGCATGTTTCCGTGGGTTTGTTAACAGTGTTTCTTTTATCATTTGTTTGTTCATATCCTCACTCACTAAACATGGAGAAATTATGAAGGAATTTTGGAGGGGAATCCTTCAGAAACTTCAAGTAACCACCTTTTTAATCGCCCTTGCCCCAGTTCCCTTTTGAACTTCTAGTGTTTCTGGAAATAGAAGCATCATTAGCCTTCTTTCTGACTAGACCATGGGTCCACGAAGGCACACATTGTGTCTGTCTCTTTTATTCCTGTATCTCCAACATTCATTCATCACTCACTCATTCAACACATACAATGAACCTTTGCCAGCTGCTGGACTGGCATGGGGGAGACCATGCTGGGCACAAATGTGACACGGTCTGGCTGTGCTTCAACAAGATCTGTCTATTGCATTGTTTAAACTCTGGAGAACAGCCCAGAGGAGGACAGGGAGCAGCACCACAGGTGAAAGATAAAGGTGGCTCAGGTCACAGATGGGTGGCAGAGGTAGGACCCTGTGGCTGATACTGGGTATCATTTGAAGACTCAGCCAATTATACCAAGCATTTGTTTAACAAGAATAAAAGTCACTCACTCATCCTATTGGTTTCTTTTTTTTTTATATATATTAAATTCTTTTATTGGTACATTGTAGGTATACAACACAATTACATTTCTCATTGGCAATTGTAC